AATTAGGAAGCATTCTCTCCTCCTCTTCAGTTTTTTGGAAGAGTTTTAGAAAAATTGGTCTTTAAATGTTTGGTAGAAAACACCAGGAAAGCCATCTGGTCCTGGGCTTTTCTTTATTGGAAGGTTTTGATTCAATATTTTTACTAGTTATAGCAATATAGTCTATTTAGATTTTCTATTTCTTCTTGATTCAGTCTTGGTACATTGTATGTTTCTGTCTGCCCATTCATCTACAGTATCCAATTTGTTGATACACTGTTTATTCTGTAAAATTGATAGTAAGTCCTCACTTCCATTTCTTTTTTCTTAGTTAATATAGCTAAAGGTTTGGCTTTTTTTTTTTTTATCTTTTCAAAGAATCAAATCTTTGTTTTTCTGTTCTCTTTTTTATTTATCTTTGCTGCAATTTTTATTATTTTCTTCCTTGTGCTAGCTTTGGGTTTAGTTTGTTCTTTTTCTGCTTCCTTAAGGTGTAAAGTTAGGTTGTTGATCTGAGATATTTCTTTTTTAACATAAATGTGTATGGCTATGAATTTCCCTCTAAATGCTATTTTTGCTGCATCTCATAAACTTTGGTATGTTGTGTTTCTATTTTCATTTATGTTAAGATATTTTCAGTTTCTCTTCTTGTCTTACTGTTTTAAGAATGTGTTACTTTTGGGGCACCTGGCTGGCTCAGTTGGAAAAGCATGTGACTCTTGATCTCGGGTTTGTGAGTTCGAGCCCCACATTGGGTGTAGAGATTACTTTTTAAAAAATCTAAAATATGGGACGCCTGGGTGGCTCAGTTGTCAAGCGTCTGCCTTTGGCTCGGATCATGATCTCAGGATCCTGGGCTTGAGCCCCACATCGGATAAAATCCCTGCTCGGCAGGGGGCCTGCTTCTCCCTCTGCCACTCCCCCTGCTTGTGTTCCCTCTCTCGTTGTGTCTCTGCCAAATAAATAAATAAAACCTTTTAAAAAAATCCAAAATAAAAATGATGTTTGGAAAATAAATCTTTGCATCCCCACCCCCAGGTTTAACAGTCCAGAAGGAAATGGGCTTTTTGTTTTGTTTTGACTTTTGGTTCTGCCCTTCCTTTTTGAGATCTCTACTTCTAATTTATTTTTATTTTTTTAAAGATTTATTTATTTATTTATGTAATGTGTGCATGTATGTATTTATTGGGGGGGAGGTGCACACAGAGGGAGAGGGTGAGGGAGAAGCTGACTCCCTGCTGAGCAGGGATCCTGATGCAGGGCTCAATCCCAGGACCCTGGGATCGTGACCTGAACCGAAGGCAGACACTTAACGACTGACCCACCCAGGCGCCCAGTCTTGTTTTAAAAAATATGCTTTTTGAGTGTCTTTTAATCTGTAAGTTCTCTCTCTCTAGATTATTTAACTGTTGGGGAATCTGGGCCATTTGACCTGTTGAGTTACTCTATGTTGTGGATTTTGCTGATTGCATAGTTACCATGCAGCTCTAGTCTCCTCTGTGTTTCCTGCAAATTGCCAGCTGCATCCAAAGGTTTGATGAGACACAAGTTTGATCCTCTTGTCATTGTGGTATCCTGTTCTTTTGTTAGGATGCACATAATATTTGGTTGGTTGGTCTCATGATCTGTGAAACAAATTACCTTAAAACAAAAATTGTTTCAGGGGTACTCAGCTGGCTCAGTCAGTAGAGCATGTGACTCTTGATCTCAGGATTGTGAGTTCAAGCCCCACATTGAGCATGGAGCCTCCTTAAAAAAAAAATTTAAAAAACAAAAACAAAAATCATTTCATTGTATCTCACAATTTTATAGGTCACGTATTTGAGCAGGACTCTGAATTCTAATTCTCCATGAAGTTTGGTGGATGGGCTGGTCTGGAGGTTCTAAGATGGCTTCATTTTCATGACTGACACTGATAGAAATGGCTGGAAGGCTGGACTTAGCCGCCCTCCTTTTGCTTTCCATGTAGTCTTAGGTCTCTTTACATTGTCTCTCCAGTAGAGAACTCTGAGTTGTTGGGTTTTTTTTTTCTTTTTAAAGATTTTATTTCTTTATTTCTTTATTTGACAGAGAGAAACACAGCGAGTGAGGGAACACAAGCAGGGGGAGTGGGAGAGGGAGAAGCAGGCTTCCCGCTCAGCAGGGAGCACAATGATGCAGGCTCAATCCCAGGACCCTCGGATCATGACCTGAGCCAAAGGCAGACACTTAACAACTGAGCCACCCAGGCGCCCCCCTGTTTCTTTTTTAAAGTTCACCCACTAATTTTATCCCCTATCCATGAATATTTCCTGTAGCAATTATTACTGTGGTGTTGAAATAGTAATTGTCTATTTTTTTCATTCCTTCTTACCTTTATTAACTAAGCATTCTTCTGTAAAAATGATGTTTTATATATTACAAATAACTTCACACTTATTTATTTGGTCATTGTTCACATCAGTATGGACTCATGGCATTTGCTTTATTTTTGAGTTTATAATCCAATACTATCATAATCCATTTTCTTACACTAGGTTTTTTATCTTTGGCCATTGAGCTCTTTCAGGTTGGCTTCTGTGTCCTTTGGACTTTAGACTGGTTTTTTTGTTTGTTTTTAGATTCAGCAATTGTTTAATGTTATCGTGTCCAATTTATTTAGATGGATAGCCAATATCTCTGTGTTTTTCTGGTAGACTAGTTTTTAAAATGTTTTTCTGGCCTGCTTTCCTTGTAGAGATGTTATTCTGTTCATTATTTTCTTTTTCCCCCTGTATCTGTATATGGCATTTGGCTTCAATTGCTTATTTTTTATGAAATTAGTCTTTCTGAACTTTAGGAGGCATGGCTAAGGGTAGTATTTCCATCTTCAAAGAACTTCCTTTTCTGTTGTTTTCTTATAGTATTTACAAATGTGGTTTGACTTCTAAGATTTCCTAGTTTTGTTATCTTCTCCTTTTCTTCTTTTGTCTCTATTTTACTTATCCTGTATAATTTTGATTCTGTTCACAGCATTCTATCTTCAGTTTGGAGTCCTGTCCTTCATTTCAGGAATTTATAGAAGCTAGACTGTACCATCTCCTTAGATGTTATGTAGGCCTCTTCCACTCACCTCTTCTACTCACCTGCTTTCAGATCAGACAAAACCTCTTCTATTTTCAGTCCTCAAATTGTCTCTCTTTTCTTTCCATTGAATACTTTTTGGCTCTTTTGGTGTTCCTCTTGCCTTATATCCATTAGATACCCTGTTATTTTTCTCTGCTTCTGCTTTTACTGAAGCTGAAACTACACAGGTCTTACAGATGTCACTGGTTTGTCCCCAACCACTTATATTTTGGGGTTCTTAGACATAACAAGATAATACCTGGTTTTGTTGTAAATGCCCGTAGTGCTTTAGTTTTGCTCTTTAACTGCTGTGTTTTTATGAGGGCATTTATGGAGATTCCAAGGTTTCATAGAATCTTTTTGCTATTATTTTTTTAAAATAACAGTTTGAGGGGAGCCTGCCTGGCTCAGTTGGTAGAACATGCGACTTGTGATCTCAGGGTCATGAGTTCAAACCCCACATTGGGTATAGAGCTTACTTAAAAAAAAAACAAAAACCAGGGACACCTGGGTGGCTCAGTTGTTAAACATCTGCCTTCGGCTCAGGTTATGATCTCAGGGTCCTGGGATCAAGTCTCGCATTGGGCTTCCTGCTCAGCGGGAGAGTCTGCTTCTCCCGCTCCCTCTGTGCTCGCACTCTCTCTCTCTCTCAAATAAATAAAATCTTTTTTTAAAAAAGCCAATAAACTAGATTATAAAGTATCAGTTTGAGAAAAATATATTTTGATGGCATATTAAACTCCAGATGTGCTTGAGTTACTGGTTAGATACTAAATAGCTAAAAACTTAATGTGGCTGGAAGATTTTTTCTGTGACATAATGTTTTATGCTTATTTTCCACTGTCTTATTTGATTGAAAGCTAAGTTTTATGTTAATTAACCTCTAATGAACTTCAGTGTCTCTATTTTCAGTTTACTTTGGGAACTTGTACAGGCCATTTATTCTGCCTGTTTCTCTTTATTGACTCCTGTTTATCTTTGGAAAGATCTTGAAGAATGATTATGTATTACTTGTGAAGTGCTCTAGCTTTATAAGAAATTGACTAGGTGAATCTTTGTGATCTCCTTCCACAATTGCTTCTGCTCCTGAATTGAGATTGCAAATTTTTTTTTTCAGTTCATTATTGCCAACCTACTTTAGCCTTCTCCCAAGAAGAGGCAGTTTGGTAGAATTGGATTAAAATTAATCAGTTGTTAATTAGTTGCCTACTGTGTACTGCACAACTTTGTTCCCAAAGTTATCTTTCAAAATAGAACTCTTTTATAACTGTGACTATCCGTTAGAGACCAAATCCTATGCTTTCATTCCATTATTATTTCCATAGATACATTTATTTTCTCCTATGAAAATGATTTTAGTAGTAAGTATATATTAGCACTTTGCCAAACATAAATACATTAGAAAATAATAGAAGTATGTGAAATAATATTCATTTAGGGTGAGATTTTTTTTCTGCTAAAAGGAACTAAAGATTGAAATGTAGGTCTACTGAGACCTATTTATAGATATATTAAAATGGTTATCAGATTCAATTCTCAAAGTAGACAAAAGCTTATAAAAGTGGAAAAGAAACATCTAACCAGATAGGGTTGGAAGTTATACAGTGACATTTTAGTTTTAGTAGGAGCTTTTGGGACTTTTTTCTTCCTACTCTCTCCCCTACACAATTAATGATTCTGATCAGCAAGGTTAGACCTATTGATCTGATTGATAACTCTCATGCCTTCCTAGAATGAGTCAGAAGGATTTAGGTAATACTTTTGTTGAACAGGACCTATAAATATATAGTTTGAGGTATTGGCTAAATTAGTGGGTAATTTAGCTTGTCGGGTTTTTATTATATTGGTCTACATATGTTTTTACGTGTATTGAGGTGTAACATTAAAATTACTTAGTACAATAGTCTTTAAGACGTTTTTGTCTGATCTGCTTTCAGGTTCATGCATGGGAGATTTCAGACCAATTGTTACAGATCCGACAGGATGTGGAATCATGCTACTTTGCTGCACAGACCATGAAAATGAAGATTCAGACCTCATTTTATGAGCTCCCCACAGACTCTCATGCCTCTTTACGGGACTCATTACTAACCCATATCCAGAACTTGAAAGACTTGTCACCTGTCATTGTAACGCAGGTAAATCCTGTGCTTCTCATTAGGGAAATTTGTAAGGCCATTTGGATTTATCAGATTTTGATTGACATTGCTAGGCCATGTGAAGTAATGTTAACTTTATTATGGACTTAATGGTATATTCTTAAGTGGATAGAAAGTGAAAATCTTCTATGTTAATATTAGAGTTCATTTGATTTCAAACCATTTTAAATACCAGAAGTGGGGGAGATGAGTATAGGTTTTCACAGGCAGGCATATGTGCCCCCCCCAACCCTATTAAAATTGCAGATGATAAAAATATTGTATACTCTTCTGTTCTGGGTCAGAGGTCTGCCTACTTGCCTTTAAAAAAATCGTTTCTGGACCAGTTGGCTAGTAAAAGTCGTATGAATGAAACAGTGAAGCATCTGGCTCTTCCCCCTTAGACTGGTAAATACATTAGAAAGGAAAACTGGAAGCTTCAGTGAATACATACTCATGTGTGTTCTCTGCCTGGCATAGAAGTGCCCTTGAAGAGGAAGGAGGCTTTTGCATAAGGCTTCAAGATGAGAAATGGAAAGAGAAGGGAAATGGCATTCCATTACTTGAGGATTAAGTCAAAGGGCTGACTTTGTCAGTAGCTTTGGCCTTTTGGCAAAGTATAATTTATCTGTCCATGAAGTTCTATGGTATTGCCAAATAAAAGTAAGTATTGATATATTCTGAGGAAAATCTGTAGTCTGTTCTTTCTGATTTCTTTTTGTTGTTTTTTGGTTTTGTTTTTTCATTTTTAGAGGTTAACTTTTAAATCCTAGCAATTTGTAGCTAGCCCAGAAGAGTTTACATTATATATGTAGTTGTGGAGGTGAGGAGAGGTGGGTGGGTGGGGTGTCAGTCTTTGTTGTCATATTGTTTGGATAAAGTTTAGTTTCTTTGCTTTCCAATTAATATTGATGGTAACCCTATTTCTGTTCATCTGTTTCTATTCATTTATTTAATCTCTCTTTTTATTCAGCTGGCTTTAGCAATAGCAGACCTTGCCCTACAGATGCCTTCCTGGAAGGGATGTGTACAAACATTGGTGGAAAAGTAAGTAACTTGTATTAACTATATTCTAGCATTTGGAATTACTATTAACCTTGTACAAAGAGAAATTTGATCGCATTAGCTAGACATTTGGGATATTTCCCCAAACACTTAACAAAGAATTATTATTAACTTTTGTTAGATTAAAAGAAAATCATTTAAAATTTAAATATTACAGAAGTGTGTCATGTGGAACATAAAGGCCCTCATAATTTATACACACATGTTCCTTGAATTAACTGCAGCAAAGTCTTTCATTGTCTTGTGGATCACTCCCACTAACTGACATGTCAGCAGTTCTATAAAAACATTGTCAGAATATTTAAGATTATATTAAATTAGAAATCATTATGAGTAAAAGTTCTTACTAATTGGGGTTTATTTCATATCTGTCAAAGGGACAGTATGATTTTCAGTTACACGGAGCCTGCTACTTTGAATAAAAGCATTTCCTCATGGTCTTGGCCGGATAATCTTGATATTTGTTTGCATTTTGGCATTTGGTTAGGGTATTATTTTTGAGCAAAGTGGATGTCCTTTTTGCCTAATCCAACTACAATGTGTCATTAAATCTTTATATGGATAGTTGTTTTTTTTTAAGATTTTATTTATTTATTTGACAGAGAGAGACACAGAGAGAGAGAGCACAAGCAGGGGGAGTGGGAGAGGGAGAAGCAGGCTTCCCGTGGAGCTGGGAACCCGATGCGGGCCTCGATCCCAGGACCCTGGGATCATGACCTGAGCCGAAGGCAGCCGATTAATGACTGAGCCACCCAGGCACCATGGATAGTTTGTTTATTTTTTTAAAGAAAATTTTCATTAAGAAAATTAACGCATGTTCCTTGAAAAAACTCTAATAGTGTGGAAGCTTTCAAAGTAAAAGCCTTTCTCTCTCCCTATTTCTGTATTTCATAAGTAACCACTATTAATGGTTGACTGTATAGCCCTCCAGACTTTAAGCATTTTAAAATAAATAAGTGCGTATATATTCTAATATATCTATGTGTTTGTTCACTCATATGTAATATATTTCATATACTTTTTATATAGTACGTTGTAGACATCTTTTCATGTTAGGACATAGATATTTCATTCACTCTAATGGCTGTGTATGTTCCATTGTATAACTGTCTGTAACCTTTTTTATTCTAATAATGGAGGACCTTTATATTTTCCCAATATTTTTGCTATTATGAGAAAGTATTGCAGTGCATATATTTATATACTTTGCATGTGTATGTGAGATTTTCTGAGAGAAATTTCTGGAAGTGGAGTTGCTGGGTCACAGATGATGCAAGTTGAAATTTTGATTTCCAGATACCTTTCCAAAAAATTTTATCTGTTTTTTCCTCCATTTTAACAGTAGTGAGAATGCTGCTTTTGTTGTTACAGGTTATTCTGAAGCCTGTTGTTATCTTGTGATTGTGTATTTTCTGACTCTGAGTAACTTTAATCTCTCGCCTTTCCTTTTCCAGATATAGCAATGATGTAACTTCTCTGCCTTTTCTGCTGGAGATCCTTACAGTGTTACCTGAAGAAGTACATAGTCGTTCCTTACGAATTGGGGCTAACCGGCGCACAGAAATTATAGAAGATTTGGCCTTCTACTCTAGTACAGTGGTATCTCTATTGGTGAGTAAGTGTGAAATACTGAGTTGTTCTGTAGGGGCAAAAAGCCATGGTGGTTATTTTTTAATTCAGTTGCATTATTGTGAAATACGATTTCTTTGCAAAAATTGGCAATGATAATACTGTGACTTTTATAGAACACTTTACAATTAAATACTTTCATATTCAGAAACTATACTTTTTGAGCTCGTAAGTAACACTGTGAGGATGATGTTATTTCCATTTTATGAATGATGTATACGGGCTTTAGACTTATACAACTCTTAGTTCAGAATTTGAACTCAGGCTTTGTGATTACACATCCCTTGCTTTTCTACTACTTCATGGTACAAACTGTTGGCTCTTGACAAAGAACCATGCTAATGTATAAATTTACTTAAGGAAAGGATCCTCTCTTAAGGATCAGTTGAGATTTGATAGGGAAGTGGTTCAGTACTTTAATTGACCTTTGGGCAATATCACAATTACAGATTAGGTAATACTACACCATCTTTTTAAAAAGAGTTAAATGTGATTAGGTCCTTTTTGACTAGGTGGACATTTTAATGCTGTAGACCAGTGATGGGTAAATTTATGGCCTATGAGCTAGTCACCTATTTTTGCAAATAGAGTTTTACTGTAACATAGTCATGCCCATTCAGTTATGTATTGTGTACGTCCATAATTTTGAGCTGAAATGGCAGAGTTGAATAATTTTCACAGAGACCACATATAGTCTATAAAATCTAAAGTATTTACTCTTTGGCCCTTTAAAGAAAATATTTGCTGGTTCTTGAACTTGATGGTATTAAATTATCTAGCCGCCACATCTCATTTTTAGGTCTTTATAGTCTAGATCAGTTTTTTCAATAATGTGGTTATAGATTATTTTTCAGGGAATTGTTTCAGTACTTTTGGAACATCATAGAACTTTTTTTTTTTTTAATTTTTATTTAAAGATGATAGTTGCTTGAGAGTTGGGGTTTTTTGTTGTTTTTTTTTAAGATTTTATTTATCTTGACAGAGAGACAGTAAGAGAGGGAACACAAGCAGGGGGAGTGGGAGAGGGAGAAGCAGGCTTCCCTCTTAGCAGAGAGCCCGATGTGGGGCTCAATCCCAGGACCCTGGGATCATGACCTGAGCTGAAGGCAGACACTTAATGACTGAGCCACCCAGGCACCCCAGAACTTTTTATTTGAAAAAGAAATTTTTTACTTAAAATTGCCTTCAGATCGGTGTTAGAAATTCACTGGAAAATTACTCTTTTATATGCATTTTTCAGAATTTATTTTAAGGAGATAGTATTATTGAGAATTAGAAAATACAAACTATATTCAAACCATCTGGAGATCACAGTTAACCCTTTAGTACATATCCTCTATGAACATATGACAAATTTTTGAAATACAAATGAGATTATATTTTACCTATCCTTCTATAGCCTGCTTTTTCAGTCATCCAGCTTCATCTTTCCATTTCAGTAAATTTTTATATCATCTAATAAATACCCAGACCATCTTCACATTCCCCAAGTTCATCCTGAAATAGCCTTTACAGCATTTTTCCAAATCAGTATCCAGTCTAGAACCATGCCTTGTATCAGTTTATTATGGTTCCTTTTTTTTTTTTTTAAGATTTTATTTATTTGACAGAGAGAGAGCAAGTACACAACAGGCAGAACGGCAGACAGAGGGAGAGGGAGAAGCAGGCTCCCCGCTGAGCAGGGAGCCCAATGCGGGGCTCAGTCCCAGGACACTGGGATCATGACCTGAGCCAAAGGCAGACGCTTAACCGACTGAGCCACCCCGGCGCCCCAGTTTATTATGATTCCTAATCACAGTCCCTCTTCCCCTTCTTTTCAAAATGACACTGATTGAGTTGAGATTGGACCAGTTATTTTATAGATTTTCTTGCCTTTTGGATTTTCTGATTGCTTTGTCTTTGTTTCATTTAGTTTGTTTTTCTGTTCTCTGTATTTCCTTTAATTGGAAGTTGTATCTAAAACAGCCTTTCTCAGTAGGGATTCCTCTAGAGAATTAAGCCTTAATGCCCTAAGGCATCCATTGTATGGAACAGATTCTCTCCTATGCATTAATAATGGTACAAGTATACTATCCTTAGGATAATGGAGAAAACAGTCACCCAAATAATTTTCTGTAGGACTTAATTCTTTCCAGAACCCTGGTTGAGAAAGAAAGACTTAATGATTGATTTTAAAAGGTTAAAGATTTTTAAATTTTTATTTATTTATTTTTAAGGGGGGGGGTGACAGAGGGAGAGAGAGAATCTTAAAGCAGGCTCCATGCCCAGTGCAGAACCTGACATAAAGCTTGATTCCACAACCCTGAGATTGTGACCTGAGCCAAAATCAAGAGTCGGGACACTTAAATCAACTGAGCCACCAAGATGCCCCAAAAGGTTAAACATAATTGACTGGACTACATCATAGATACTTCATGTGTCATCTTATCAGAAGAGAAATACTTTTTGGTGACCTTCCATTAGTGATGTTAGGATTGACTAGATTAGGATGCATTTTTCAACTTACCATTTATTTTAAGTTTGATTCTTCCGTTTATAAAGTTTGTTTTCCTCCTTGTAATGCAATTTGTATGATGGTAGTTCATAAAATAGAAAATGTTCAATTCCATATCAACCTTTGCCTAAAGATTTTAAATTCTAGTTGGTAATCATTGTCTTAATAATTTCATCATGGGGCGCCTGAGTGGCTCAGTCGTTAAGTGTCTGCCTTCGGCTCAGGTCATGGTCCCAGGGTCCTGGATCGAGCCCCGCATCGGGCTCCCTGCTCCACGGGAAGCCTGCTTCTCCCTCTCCCACTCCCCCTGCTTGTGCTCTCTCTCTGTCGCTGTGTCTCTCTCTGTCAAATAAATAAAATCTTTTTTAAAAAAATTTCATTGTGGTTTGCAAAATAATATTTTAATTCTGTCATTCTTTCTGTGTATGTATTAGTTGGTGTTCTTGTGAGTATTCTGGCATTCTTCTAGGAAAGCACTATAAATCTTAATTCTTTTTTAATTTCCTGTTTGCAAAATAGGGTTTTGTTTTAAATCTGCCTCAAGTGTCACTGTTTTTTTTTCTGACATCTCTTTATGGAGTGTTATGACTCATGGGTTTTCATTGATTCAGGGTCTCAACTAAAATCTTTTTTTGATGCTTAAAATATTATAACTTTGGCCACTGGAGCATTTCTCTCCTTCCTAACACAAAAAGAGGACTAATACTCACCTTGTTACCTCCTTGCCCCAGATCTAGAATCCTTTTAGTATCAGTCTGTGTTTAGTCAGAAGAGAGAAACCACATAGTAGTATGTGGGAATGTTTAATACAAAGAATGATTAATTCTAACTGGAGATTACAGTGATGAGGGATTGTCTGGTAAGAAGTAAAGAGAGCTCTAAAGAATATAGCCATAAAACAGAAACAAGGAGCAGACATTAACCCCAAGGCTAAGATAGAGTTTCCAAGGAAGGAGGAGTTCACCCCTTCCCAGGGCTAAGATCCAGACCCTGTTGTAGAAGGCACAGAATTGTGGAGAAGTCATTTTTGGCACTCCGTGCTGCTGAAAATCAGTCTTTTTGAACTTGCAGGAAATCTGCCTTCTAGGAAGCCCAAGAAAGCTGTTCGGGGAAGGTGTCTCTCTGCCACAAAATCACCTTGGTATGGGAGTACCAGAGGCAGCTGCTGGCCACGATGTCTGGCAGACACTGGAGAAACTGAACACAGTGAATCTGGTGCTGGAGAAGTTGTACATTCTTTAGGAGCCAGACGCGATTTGCTGTAAATCCATTGGAGAGGGTGGGGGAAATGCTGGGGAAATTGGTGGCCAGTGCATTGCAAGAGGCAGGCACCAGAGGAAATAGGAGTCTGGGGCTGGAGGAGCGGCACATTCTGTTGAAGGCTACCAAGGGAGCACACTAGCACCGGGAAGCAGACCCTTTTCTCTTGTTTCTCTCTAGTGGCCTTCTGACAAAAAGTCAGTCTAGCGGCACAGGAAAAAATATTTAAAGGGCCCAGATCCATTTTTACAGAGTAGTCTAAAAGGGTGAATTTGGTGCTGAGGGGCAATACATCTATAACCAGCCGTAGTCTTCCTATTTGACTAACTTAACTTCCTATTTGGTTAACTCTTTTACATACATTCAAACTCGTGTGCAGGGGCACCTGGGTGGCTCCGTTGGTTAAACATCTGCCTTCCGCTCAGTTCATGATCTCAGGGTCCTGGGATCAAGCCCCGCATTGGGCTCCCTGCTCAGTGGGGAATCTTCTTCTCCCTTTCCTTCTGTCCCTCTCCCCGGCTTGTGTATACTCTTGTGCTCACACACTCTCCCTCATGCTGTCTCTCAAATAAATAAAAATCTTTTTTTTTAAGATGTTATTTATTCATTTGACAGAGAGAGACACAGAGAGAGAGGAAACACAAGCAGGGGGAGTGGGAGAGGGAGAAGCAGACTTCCCGCCTAGCAGGGAGCCCAATGCGGGACTCCATCCCAGGACCCTGAGATCATGACCTGAGCCGGAGGCAGACGCTTAACCACTGAGCCACCAAATAAATAAAAATCTTAAAAAAAAACAAAAACAGAAAACTTGTGTGCAGTGGCATAACAAGCAAATAGGAAATATGCAGAGCTACTACAGCCCTCAGTTATGTATTGGTCAGAAGAGTTGTATAATTGATATGTATGGCTTTCTTGCACAACTCGTTTCTTCTTTCCCCTGCTGCTATAGACTGAATATTTGTGTGTGTGTCTCCCTTCTCCCGCCTCCCCCCCCCAAAATTTTTATGTTGCTGTGGACTGAATATTTGTCTTTGTGCCCCGCCCCCACAATTTATATATTTATATGTTGAAACCTAGTGCCCAGTGTGGTAGTATTAGGAGGTGGGGCTTTTGGAAGGTGATTTGGTCATGAGTATGGGACCCTCATGAATGGGATTAGTGCCCTTATAAAAGAGAACCCAGAAAGCTCTCTTCCCTCTTACGTCATGTGTAAACATAGAGAAAAGATCCTTCATTATGAAGCAGGAAGCCAGTTCCTCAACAGACACTGGATCTGGGGGTACCTTGATCTTGAACTTCTTAGCCTCTAAATCTGTGAAAAATAAATTTCTGTTGTTTATAAGCCACCCATCTATCATATTCTGTTACAGCAGCATGAATGGACTAAGACAACTGCCTTGTTCAGAACCTCAGCTGGTTGGGGTTCTTTACTCTGTGAAGTGACCCAAACCTTCATTCCCCCAAAGAGTCTGAGCCCTCAATAATCCTGCCTTTTTTGGTTGTTGCTTCTGTAGTTTCGCATTAACCTTTACTGTTGAGCATGGAAGTATTAAGAAGCTCTCTAGAAAATTCTCTCTGTTCCAGACTGAGAACTCCTTGCTTCGATTGTGTAGGAGGAACTCAGTTTTTCTTTGGTTATTGGGATCAGTCACTCAGATTAACCTACAGATTAACACCCTCCTCCCCTTTTTCCTATTGGTTCAGTGGCAGAAGAAGCTCAAATTGTCCAGGTGGTTGACTTACCTTATAGTTTACTGGAATCATGTTTGTACTTCCTGGTAGAAGCATTCCTTCCTTGGGGACCAGAATCTCCAACAGAGGTCACAGTTGCTCATTACTGTACTTCCCTTACTCTGATACGAGTTCCTTGATTAGATAGGAGGCCTTGATGGTTGGATATGGCATTCTGTGAGTCTGTGGTTGATACAGTGCTGACAGAAGCACTGCAAGCAGGGAAGGCAAATCCATATCCAGCATATAAGTCTCTTTCTTCCTGTGAGCCTTGTCCTTCCAGACAAATTTCTTCTTCCTTCGTGAAAGAAGTTCAATGTAATCAATGAACCTGGTCCCCATGGTAGATGGTGCCATTTTAGGGACTCGGTGTTGGTCTCTGCTATTGGCAGATTTGACACTCATCAGTAGTTTTGACTTACTTAGTGGAAGTTCATGTTAATCCTGGTGTAGCCTCTGTCTCAGCTGCTGTGGCCACTTTGTTTATGAGCCTATTGAGCAAGGTGACTGGGGAAAGGGGCTAACATTATAGAGTTTCAAATTTTGTCCATCTATCATTGAAAGATTTCTCTATAGTGGATGTCTTTTGGTGGGTATTCGCACAGGACAAATTTCTCCACAGTCTGTGCCTGTTTGTATACCATTCATATATACTTCTGCGTCAGACTTCCTTGTCACCAATCTTTTAATCATGCTTCTTCCAAATCCCTGGTCATCCAAATCATTAAAAATTGTCCATAAATAAGTACAGATCCATATTTTTGATTCTCTCTCACTCCATACGTCGTGGACAACCAGTTATACTGCTTGAAGTTCTGCCCATTAGGATTTTCCTTCAACCACTGTCCTTCACTGTCCTTCATTACCCTGTATGGGTCTGTAATTCTGCAGCTCTCCACCTTCAGGTGGTACCAGCATGTTGTACACATCATTCTGTAATCTGGGCTAGAGTTTTCTTCTTTAGTTAACTAGGTTGTAAGGAACATCCAGGAGGCAGGAGGCAATAGGCATGGATTGAGGGAAGTGAATCAATGCAAAAAGAGTTGGTGTCAAAGGAATCTGACCTACCTGCTCATGCAACTTTCTTACACCTTCTTGAACTCAGTTTCTTGTATTCCATTTCTGTCGGATGACAGGTTGCTGTTACGCATGCCCATGTTAAGTAGTTCAGACAATACTTAGTTCATGGTGAGAAGCTCAGGCCACGTGGTCACCTGATGTCCTATGGATAGATGTTCAGTTTCTACCAAGGTGTAGCAAGCCAGAAGCTGTTTCTCAAAAGAATAATTACCTGCAGAAGGTAGAGATTTGCTCCCAAGTCCTAGATATTTGCACTATGATTTTCCTGGGTCCTTGCCAGAGGCACCATATACTCATTAAATCCAGAATCTCTAGGAAGTACACTCATATCAATGAGATTGGCTCAAGTTAGTGGTATATTCCAGCCTCCCATGGTCTGGTACCCTTAGAATCATTCCCATATATGTTACCCAGGTTTCTTCAGATACATGTTAGCAAAGTTTACAGTTTTCTTGATAAGTTATTTCCTCTTGTATATACCTGTCATTCCAACCCTCCCCCCCCCCAAAGGTGCTAAGATTTGGCCATAGTTATGGGTGGCACAGGAAATGGTTGTGGTAGGTCTTGAAGAGATTGGGCATCACCTATGAAGGCATTTGTCTCAGATGACATTATTACAGGGTTTTCAAACTGAAGAAGGCTTTTCTCAGACACTGGAAAGCAGACTGCATCTGCTGGTAAGGGAGACTCAGTAATTTGGGAGTTCAGGATTATCTGTTTCATTAGGGTCCAGACACCAGATGTCTCTTTTCCAAGTTTCAGAATTCCACATTTTACAATTTCTTAACTTTCACATGAGAAATTTGGTGAGATTGTGAATTCAGCTGTTGTTTGTAGTTCAGCAAGCCACACAAATTATGTGTATGACTATCAGCCCTGGAGCTACACAAAATAAGAGCTTCATTTAGAGTGGTTGTAGAAGATTTGGTTCTCAGACTATGACTTGAATTGAGTTAAGGGACCTGAGCTTGTCATTTTCTTTTTGTAAGGTCTCAAGTGAAGCCAAAAGAATCCAGTCAGCACTGCAGCCCTCATAAGCATCATTACTGGCACAGTGGTCAAGTGTAGGAGCTACTTGGACTCCCATGGCATGTGCTTGACTTAACACTTCCTCATAATTGACAACAAGCAATAGCTTGATTTGTTGTAATGAAATCTGAAAAATTTGTCCCTGTGGTACTTAATACAGTCTATAACTCTGTCATGTAGTTTGTCATGTTACAGAACCCGGAAAATGAAATAGTCCAGAATTGCCAGGAAAAATAGGCTGGCTGTAATACCAGGTACCAGAGGCCTCTTAAACCTTTTCCATTGTTTCCCCCACGTTCCTCTTATTTACATTCTATTCCATCCCATTTTGTCAGTATTTTACTTTTGTGGTCTCTTCAAATGGAGACTTTCCTAAACATTGTGTTGAACTTTTAAAAGTTTTAAATATTCTTCTTGCCCATATAGTTGACTGAGCCTGTCCTCTAATATATTTTTCTCCCTTCATTTAGTCTTCATTTTGTTAATCCAAGGTCAGTTTTTATTTACCTCTGCTTTATTTTTACTGGTGAACGCTTCTGGCATTTGTTTCAGCTTTGAGGCCTTGCTTTAAGAGACAGAGTTCTTAATAATGCAGTTCTTAAAGAGGAACCCAAGGTAACTTTCTCTTAGTTCTGAAGCTTTCTGGTGTGTGTTTGATTTAATTAGCAGAATTCTTTTCTCTTCAAGCAACTAGATTTAGATGTAGGCTTTTTCCAAAATTCTGTTCTTAAGTTTGAGTCAGAAGTTAGAATGTATAGTCAGGCTCTCCCATTTGTAAACATCATGTCTTAGTAAATTGAAATGTCATTCAGGAAGTATAAAGGCCAAACAATCGTGTGATGACTTTACATCCAGAGATTCAAAGATTCAAGTATTTGTGTGGTTGCCATGAATTTACTTGAAGCATTCTTGTTTTTCTTCTTTCAATTCAGTTCAGTATAATTCAAACTAATTGAGAAGAATATAATCATAATTGTCTGATACAGCAAATATAGGAGGAGCATGGCTACCTTAGAAGTACAAGAGTCAACATTTAGATCACTGTGGGAATCTGTACCCCACCACAAACCCCATGGCAATTATGACGTTTCTGACCCATTGCCTATAAAAGTTATTTTTAAACATTTTTTAATCCAGAAAAAGTTGCATTACACTTTATTTTGGAAAAAATATACATCACAAAAATAGTTTGCAAAGAGAAACAGTGGTGAGTTTTAGTTGGCTTTTCATTTTATCTCTTTTATCAACCTACCGTATTTATAGTAGTGTCACTTTCTGTGGAATGGTGTATTTGCTGGAGTATTTGAGTACAGAAGCTGAAACATCAGCTTTTTATTTGGGGTTATACAATAGTAGGACTGTCTTGTTTTTATTCTGTAAAATCAACTGTGTAGATGAGTATTAATTGAAAATAATTTTTTGATACAATTAAATTAATGCAGAAGAGGGATCTAAGAAACCATTATTTCTGAAACAGAACTATCTTTGTTTTTTTTTTTAAATGTTTCTTTTCTTTTATTATTATTTTTTTTTAATTTGAGAGAGAGAGAGAGAGAATGAGAGATAGAGAGACAGAGGGAAGAGGGTCAGAGGGAGAAGCAGACTCCCTGACTAGCAGGGAGCCCGATGCGGGACTCGATCCCGGGACTCCAGGATCATGACCTGAGCCGAAGACAGTCGCTCAACCGACTGAGCCACCCAGGCGCTCGAAACAGAACTATCTTTGGGCAAGTCTGCGATCTCTTTGTATCTCAGCTTCCCAGTTGAGAAAATGGAGATAGTACCTGGCTGTAGTTTTAGTGGGGATTAATGAATTAAGAATATTGAGAGCACCATCTGGTACTTACAAAGCACTTTTAACTGTTAGCTGTTAGTATTATTTTCCTTCTCATTATTACACCTAAGAGGTGATTGTAATAATGGTTTAAATTTAAAGTTTGGCATTATTTAACTTTTTTTTGCCTTCTTTTCAGATGACCTGTATAGAAAAAGCAGGAACAGATGAGAAAATGCTTATGAAGGTCTTTCGCTGTTTAGGAAGTTGGTTTAACCTAGGAGTTTTGGACAGTAACTTCATGGCGAACAATAAGTTACTAGCACTCCTTTTCGAGGTTTTGGTAAGTAATGGCTTTGTTTATGAAAGTATTTTTACCACGTAGTCACAGTAGTAACTAACCTTCGGGGACATAGCAGTGTTTTCAGATTTCTGTACAGTGATTGGAAGGTGTATAGTAAGAAAGCAGCAATGTCTCTTCCTTGTTACCAAGTTACCAAATGAAGGTATTAATATTAATACTCAGGATAGAATGTAGTTAGGTTTAATAGGAAAGCAGTTTTATGTGTAGATCAATGATTTACATATTAAACAACAAGTAACAAAAAAACCAGTGGTCTCTTTTTTCTTGTTTTAAAAATATAATAATGGTCATTGGGTCTTTGAGACAGTTACAGATCAGAATATTATCTTTGTAGTTGTGATAGTTTATTTAAGCATCAAGGTATGTATAGGGTGGATTTGAGGCTTTTGAGATTAATGGAATAAAAAGTAGTGTCTTTTTATGTACTTGTGCATGTTTTCCATAAACTTTGAAAATAGTAGTACCTAGTAATACATTATTTTGTCTTGGTAGATAGGAGTAAGTGAGTGCATAGAATAAGACTACTTTTTAGAACAAGAAACAGAGCAATGTCTCAAGCACATATCGAACAGGTCTTTGGAGATGGGAGTGATTTTGTTTCCTTTTCCTGGATAGTCTCTTTCCATGAAGTCATATTAGTATGGAAGCTCTGTGTGTACTGGTTAGTGCACTGTTATTTAGAAGATGGTAGCATGATAATGGGTTGATACCACTGTGAATTAAAGAAAAAGAAAGCACATTCTCCAAGGAGACATTTTTGGTGTTTCATTGTTGTTAGTGTATTTATGCTTCATTCTTGCATCAGGAGCTAAGACTCAGGAAAGTTAGGACACTAATAATTGTTTTGCTAGTCATTGTCTTTGTTGCCATGTCTATTGATGCCCTACCTCAGTAATGGTAATTTTGGTTCTCATCTCACTAAATTGTGTGAAGAATAGTCAGTATAAATAAATTAATCTCCCACTTTTGTTTAAAAATTTATGAATATGAGGGGCACCTTGGTGTGGTGGTGCATTCAGTTGAACGGCCAACTCTTGGTTTCAGCTCAGGTCGTGATCTCAGGGTCGTGAGATTGAGCCCTGCTTTGGGCTCTGTGCTCAGTGGGGTATCTGCTTGAGATTCTCTCTCTCCCTCTCCCTCTGCCCCCCCCCGCTCCCTCTCTCTGTCTGAAATAAATAAATAAAATTTATGAATACGATTGATTACATATGAAGGGAAGGCAGCTTAGAATACATATCAAACTCAAGACAGTGGTTACTTCTGGGAATTAAAATAGGGGTAAGGAACAAGCCAAGTAGTATGCCAGCATTATATTATCTTCTCCGCTGATCCAGTGTCAGGATCCCTCTGCCACTTAAAAGACGAGTGGTTTTAGAGTCAGAGTCAATATATTCTCATTCTTGCATTCATTCAGTGATTCAAAATCATGCCATATTTTAGTTTGCTTTGTGTTTGGACCACAACTTTATTACAGATATATAGCCTTTTCTCCCATAGTTTTTTTTTTTTAAAGCTTTTATAAATATGCTGGATATATATACAAAAGAATAAATTTGAACATTTATTTAACTTTTAAAACACAGTAATAATAATAAGTATTTTTGAATCCACCTCTCAACCTAAGAATAAGCTAATGAATAATTTACATCTATCTTTGTGTTCTTCCAGCCCTGCTTGTATTAACTCTTTCCCCGCCCTGGAGGTTCTAAATGTCCTTGTTTTTTATTATTCATAAAAGACTAATATGCCTTCACTAAATTTATCCACCCTCTCAACTGTACTCTTCTAAATAGAAACCCTAGAGGTCTCTTTGAACTCTACTTTAGTTCGTATCAATTGCTCTTTAGATCTACTTCCCAGATGTCGTTCTGGAGCTTTTCTTTATTGTGCTTCTGGATTGGATTGTTTTTTGAATCTCCTCAGATACCTTCCTCAGAAAGATATGTGGGAAGTAAATTTTGAGTTTTTGCTTTCCTGAGAAATATTTATATTTCGCTTTTATTCTTGATTGGTGGTTTAACTAGGTATAGAGTTCTAGATTCAGTATTCTTTTCCTTCAATATTTCCAAGGCCTTTCTTTCTTGTATACTGGCAGGCATCATTGCTGATGAGACGCTAAATAACTGATTTTTGCTCCTTTCAAAGTTACCTTCTCTCATTCCCAGAAGCTTTAGGATCCTCTGTTGAAATATGATGGTATTCTGAAATATGATGATGATGTATTAGGTAGGTATGGGTATTTGAGACTTGTTGGACCCTTTCATTTTATTTTTTATTTTTTTAAAGATTTTATTTATTTATTTGAGGGAAAGGGAGTGTGTGCCAGTGCGGGGGAGGAGCAGACGGGGAGGGAGTGGGAAAGAATCGCAGGCAGACTCAGCGCTAAGTGTGGAACCCAACGTGGGGCTCAGTCTCACAAGTCATGAGATCATGACCAGAGCTGAAACCGAGAGTCAGGCTCTTAACCAACTGAGCCACCCAGACGCCCCAGACCCTTTCATTTTAAATAGTTCTTGAATATCAGAAAAAGGATGGAAAAGATTTTCACAGACTAAAACAGGGTAGGGAACACATGGCATTACATTTGGAGAGGTGGTATGGAAAAAAAAAAACATGGAATTTTAGAAGTCATGTGACTGTGATTGAGGTACAAAAAGGCTGATTTGTTTGGCATATAGGGAAATAGAAATAAGACAGGGAAGATTGATGAATATTGCCTGGTTGAAGGCCATGACTGTTAGGCTGTTATATATTTAAAGTACATGTTCAGAAATGGGCTATAATTGTTTTGCGAGTACTTGAATTACAGCTTAATGATCATAACATCTTCCCTATTCCTGCCATCTCCCAGCAACAGGATAAGACCTCATCCAACCTACACGAAGCTGCTTCGGATTGTGTATGCTCAGCTCTCTATGCCATTGAGAATGTGGAGACTAACTTGCCATTAGCCATGCAGCTTTTTCAAGGAGTCCTAACATTGGAGACTGCTTATCATATGGCTGTGGCACGTGAAGATTTAGACAAGTGAGTGATTATTTAAGGCAGTAGCCCCAGATTCCATCCTTCGTGATTTTTTAAGACCCTGGGTAAATATAGACACCACAGCCTAAAGATGCTCTGTTATTCTCGAATGAACCTAGAGTGGCAAATTGGATGCAGAGGGAGAGGTTGGAATCATGGAAAGTAGTAATTTTTTCCACTCACAAAGGATAAGGCTCTAAGAATTAGGAATGAACTTTGGAGTATCAAGTGTGATTTGATAAGGGTTTTATTCAAATGTTTTAGTAATTGAGAATTTGAACTGACTTATGAGTGTTTTGCTTATATGTATAAAAACATATGATAAGGAAAGGTGGCTTTTATGGAGATTTTGATACAGCATAGCTAATAATCACTACATGTCCCTTAGGCCAAGGATCCTTTTACTTAATTAACTATGTCTGTGAGTATGTACATATAATATACAGATTTCTGACTTGGTGCTCTCATTACTCTTTCATTTGCAGAGTTCTGAATTACTGCCGTATTTTCACTGAACTATGTGAAACTTTTCTTGAAAAAATTGTTTGTACTCCAGGCCAAGGTCTTGGCGACCTACGAACTCTGGAACTGCTGCTTATTTGTGCAGGACATCCTCAATATGAGGTAATGTTTGTATTATGCTAAACCCATTTTCTCCAGGTTATTTGTTGCATATTACCTATATTCCATTGCCACCCATCTAGCTTTTTATTTGTGGGAAACTATAGTCTTATTTTTGATTAGCGTGATGTGGTGGTTTCCTCTGTTAGAGTTTTTCTTTTAAATTATATTTGGGTTTCTGCTTTGAATCCTTTTCAATTTTCTTACCCGGTTAGCTGGGCTGACTGCTGTAGGCACCTCAGGGAACCCATTAGGAAGAAAGCTTACTACCTTTTAACTGAGCCCCCTCTGTAGGTCCAGTTATTCTTTTTAGAGCTTTACAGCTAAAAACAAAACAAAACCACATAAACAAAATCTTAACTGTATAAGTCTTAACATCCAAAATTTTTTCTCCAAATGGTGAGTGGGAATGAGAAAGGGATTGAAAGGATTTAAAAGTCTACTCCATTCCAAAATCTCTACAACACCCTGCCTCTTAAAAAAGTTGGCTAGATTTTTTTAAATCTTGTTTATTCAAGAAGTTTTACCTCCTCTTAATAGTTATAGGAAGTAAGAAAGAACTCCCAAATTGGGTATTGTTTTAAATAGGTCTATTTTAGATCCTTGATGGGAAAAGGATGGTAGGGCCCCTCTAAAGGAGGAGCACGGCTCTGTGATTCTCATCTCTTTTTCTCTTATTCATTAAAAAAAAAATGACTTGATCTCATGAGGATATCTAGATTTGGGTGAAACACAAAACATTTATGGGAGTAAGTGTAGCACTATTTGATAATTATCATTCCTTTAAATAGTGCCATAAGTAAGATAAGCTGTGGATAAAGTCCCAGACTTTTTCTTCTCTTTCAGTCCCACTCAGAAAAGTAGGTGAGTAAAAATGACACAAGGTTGGTATGTTCAGGGATTTGCAGATCGTTTGTCTGTCAAGAGGTGGGGTTTTTTTCTTTTTCTTTTTTTCTTTTTTTAAGATTTTATCTCAGAGCGTGAGCACAAGCATGAGCGGGGGAGGGGCAAAGGGAGAACCAGATACCCTGCTGAGCAGGGAGCCCGATGTGGGGCCCTATCTCAGGACCCTGGGATCAGGACCTGAGCCGAAGTCAGACGCTTAACTGACTGAGCCACACAGATGCCCCTGTCAAGAGGTATTTTAATCTCAAAACATGAAATGATTTTAGATTTGAGAAAAAATATTTAAAAGAGACTTCCATTTCTGTGTCTATTTCTCTAAATTCAGAATCCATTATACTGTTGGAGAGTTACCAGCTAAAGAGGGACTGTACACCCAGTTACCGTAAATGGATTTTGGGGCCTACCATGGGAAGCTAGTTTGGGAGGATAGTAATAAATCTGCTAGAGAACAGGTGGCTTCTTAACTGGCTCTACTCATATTATTTTAGATTATATTTTCTTTCCTATATGGTTCTAGTAATAAAACTGTCTTTGTATTCCATTCCTTTTCTGATTCAAATAAACCTTTTCTTTTTCTTTTAATTTGACAGGTAGTAGAAATTTCCTTTAACTTTTGGTACCGACTCGGGGAGCATTTGTACAAAACTAATGATGAAGTTATTCATGGAATCTTCAAAGCTTACATTCAGAGGCTGCTTCATGCCTTGGCTCGACACTGCCAGCTAGAACCAGACCATGTAAGTTCCCTTCTCCACTTCTGCAGATCTTAATTTCCTACTCTTTTCAGTGCTAATTTGAAAATGAACTAAAAAGGTAATAAAGCTAATGGAATCTACAGGTTTTCTGTCACTCTGTAGCATACACTAAAGAAATCAATACCAGTGTAATGAAGAGTGAGTATAAGGCTTATATAGAAAGAAATAAGTTCTGCTGAGCCAGTAATTCTTCTCTTAGAAATTTACCTTAAATAATTCTGCTGAAGAAAAAAAAATGGCTATTTTATATATAAAGCATTATCTGTAAAGTAAAAAAAAAATGATAAACTCATGTACAACAGTATAAGGAGAGTTACGTAAATTATGATGTTGCAGCTTGATGGACCATTATGCAAAATAATGACTTTTGAAATAGCAGTAATTGGTTTGCTAAATGAAAAAATCAGAATGTAAAATTTTATGTGCTGCTGGGCGCCTGGGTGGCTCAGTTGGTTAAGCGACTGCCTTCGGCTCAGGTCATGATCCTGGAGTCCCGGGATCGAGTCCCACATCGGGCTCCCTGCTCAGCAGGGAGTCTGCTTCTCCCTCTGACCCTCTCCCCTCTCATGCTCTCTCTCTATCTCATTCTCTCTCTCAAATAAATAAATAAAATCTTTAAAAAAAATTTATGTGCTGTATTTTTAATGGTATAACATGTAGTTGGATTAAAACTAACACAAAAGAAGTATTTGTGTGAGGTTGTGGTGAATTACATATGATTTCCTTCTCCATACACATACAGTACACATTTTTCTTTATACTGATTTTATAATTTATAAGAAAATATAGAAATAATCTACTTGCTTAGAAGAATATATACTAGAAATATTATAAAATAGCCTAATTGGAAAACTCTTTAACTTCCATTCTTTGCTTAGTCTCTTAAATCTTACAGCATTTATTTCATCCTTTTGATTGTTGGTTAGTTGGTTTAATTCCTCTCCTTTAACCCAGGACTTGAAGAGAGTTTTTTCTCATTGCTCACAATTAGCTCTGATGTGAAAACTGTAATTGTCTTTGTTCTCTTCATTTTAATGTTAACATTGTTGAGTCATGGTATTTTGCACCTTCAAAGAATCTTAGTGATGATCTAGTCTAGTGGTTTTCAACCTTTATTTTTTGTTGTTCAACTGAGGAATTCTATCTTCAACTACATCTTCCATGGAAGCCTAATATGTAAATAAAAGCAGGGCTTCTGGCTTCAGTTGGCTCTACTTGCTTGATCCCGTTCTTCCTTTTGCTAGTCAGCAATTCCTTATACTTGTGGATATATAGTGCTTTATAATGTGTGGAGTGCTTTATAATTCCTTACCTCAAGATAGCCATCATTTCCCCCTCATTCTCTGACTTTAATTTCTTCATCTTAAAGCAAGGAGGTTGGACTAGATCAGCAATTCTCAATAGGATTTTCCACATAGTCATGGATAAAGCTTGGACTTTATCAGCTTTTCACATCAGCTTTTTCCACATAGTCATGGATAAAGCTTCTTATACATGCCCTTAACCATCTCCCAATTGGAAGCATGAAATATGAATGATCTCTATGTTTTTTAATGAAAATTTTCAAATATTTGGCAAAGGTAAAAATTTTATAGTGAATGTCTATATACCTACTACCTGAATTCTACCATTAATATTTTACTATACTTGTTTTATGTTTTATTATATATCTGTCTACCTATATAAAATTCTTTTTAAAGTCTAAAATTCTATCTTGGGGGCACCTGGGTGGCTCAGTTGGTTAAGCGGCTGCCTTCGGCTCAGGTCATGATCTCAGGGTCCTGGGATCGAGCCCCACATCAGGCTCCCTGCTCCGCGGGGAGCCTGCTTCTCCCTCTCCCACTCCCCTGCTTGTGTTCCCTCTCTCTCTGTGTCTCTCTCTGTCAAATAAATAAATAAAATCTTTAAAAAAAATAAAAAAGAAAAAGAAATAAAATTCTGTTCTGCATCTAGCTGTTGACATAATGACTGATTCTGGTAAATCTTGAACCATGAAGCTTCAGGGGCTTATTCAGTACTAAAAATAAGATTAACTTATAAACTCTTTTTTTTTTTTTTAAAGATTTTATTTATTTGAGAGAGAATGAGAGAGAGCACATGAGAGGGGGAAAGTCAGAGGGAGAAGCAGACTACCTGCTTAGCAAGGAGCCTGATGCGGGACTCGATCCTGGGACTCCAGGATCATGACCTGAGCCAAAGGCAGTCGCTTAACTAACTGAGCCACCCAGGCGCCCTAGCTTGTAAACTCTTAAATTACCACCTCTTCCAGGTCACTTCCCACCCCGACCACTCAAATTTTTCAACAACAGAGCAAGGTGTGGCTTGGAAAAAGGGGTAAAAGGAAGAACGGTTTCTCATAGTAAAGGTAGAGGATAGGTTGTATTGACTTTACATACCTAAAAGTTTAGGAGACCCTATATAGTAAAATATCCCTTGATTTAGGCAACTTATCTCTTGTTCACTGGGACTAAACTGCTTAATGGCTTTTTCTTTATTGATTTTATAGAGGTCAGTGAAAGCCTTAGTGATAAGTTTAAAAGAAATGTTCTCTGACTTGAAATTTCAGGAGGGGGTTCCTGAGGAGACTGATGACTTTGGAGAGTTTCGGATGAGGGTATCAGATCTGGTGAAAGACTTGATTTTCTTGATTGGGTCTATGGAGTGTTTTGCTCAGGTAAGTCCATTTGGAGATTCTTACTGGTTTTACTGATCACTTGAGTTGTGTTCTCTTCTGTGTCTTCTGTAAATGTTCCACCTTTTTCTTAAATTTTAATGGCTAAATGGGACAGTAGATATGCGGGTGCCTAGCACACTGCCTGGCATATAGTAGCTTTGTTTGTTTAGTATCTTAACAAGCCAATTGCAGTCTGTGGATGGTTCAGTTATGGTTTACTCTTATTATTCTTGCTGTTGAAAGCTGTTCTACTTGTCCAGTCGGAATGGAAAATCATAGATAAACCTTAAGGATCCAAGGTATTTATAGGGAACTTGGACCTAGCCAGGAAAAAATAGGCAAGTTTTTCTGCTTTATTAATTATGTGCCAAATCCTGGCAACTCTTTTAGTTATTTGGCATTTCCTTTATCCACACTTATGGTTAGATTCGTGTGCAGTTTCATCCCAGAGGTGACTATACTAGAGTAGAAGATTCATAGTCCTATGATTTTCCTGACAGTGAGTAACATTTTACCTCCTAAGGTAGCAATCATCACCATTCCACATCCCTTAACATTAGCATAATTTCAGGCAGTTTTCATATTGCTGGATCATGCTCTAAGCTCTGAAATACTAGTTTTGATACTTTATCAGCAATAGTGAACTAACCTTTATTTTTTTGGTAACCCAGCCATTTTGTATATTTGGGGGCATAATCTGATTTAGAAAGTGTTAATAAAATTAAACCTATTTTTCTTTATTTTAAGCAAAGTGTATTTATTGATCTAATTACAAAGGGTTGGAGATTCCTAGAAAGCAGATTCAGTGAGATCACCAGATCATAAGCAGATGACCTGTGTTCACATTTCAGCTCTTCTGTCATTCGCTATGTGGCTTTGAGCAAGTTACTTGTTCAGATCTCAGTTTACAAATTTACTTAAATTGTTAGTGTTGTCCAAGATGTATTCTGTGGAACACCAGTCCTATGAGATGTTCTTGTGGGGAGGGGAATCCTCAATTAAAATTGGGAAATGACTTAAACAGTATATCAAAGGCTCGATGAAGTCCTACAACAAGAGAATATTTAATTTTATCTTACTTAGTAGTGTTTGTTATTTGACTACAGAAACCTTATTTAAACTCAGTCTCAATCAGATGGATATACCCTGGGAAATTTTTGGACTAGAACATCTCTGAGTATTCTGCTTGGTCTCCTTTTTTCCTCCCCTTGCTTGGATATGGTATTCTAAATAGCTACTTTTTAAGAATTTAAACGACTAGTGTTGATGCGGATAAGTCTTTTAAACAATAGAAATGTAAAATCAATACATATATAAGAAATTTACATTGTATCTCAATTTTAAGTGTATTTATGTATTTATCAGTTATTACAGAGATCAGGAAAAGACATTCATGTAATATGTTTTGCTTTTCCATAATACTCATTTTGTGGGGGCAGATGATAATCTTGATATACTCTTGGGGAATCTAACTGGGTTTATTTCAGATATTAAAATAGCAGTTACTTGTAGTTAGTGAAGATGTGAAAAATGAAATAATATTCTCCCCTGGCTCAGAGATGATTAATTTAGAAACAAGGGGCTGGATTTATTTTAACTAACAGGATTTTTTGTTTTGTTTGTTTTGGAATTCTATTCTGTTTTCCTTTTAATGGATCCATAATCCACCTCTTCTTCTCTAGTTATATTCTACTCTGAAAGAAGGCAACCCACCCTGGGAGGTGACAGAAGCGGTTCTCTTTATCATGGCTGCTATAGCAAAGAGTGTTGATCCGTGAGTGTCTAATAAGTCTTTTGCTGGGAACTCTAAATATCAAAGGAAGGAAAATTACACCATTTTTCTCATATGGTATATGTTTGGAAACTCAGAACTTCTTTTATAATGCTGCCTAGTCTTCTGACTTCTAGAATCTATTCCAGAGTAGCGTGCATTGCTGATATTCATGTTTTAACCACATATCTTAGAGTTAAAATTATTTTGTTCTTGATGCTAGGAAGATAATGCTGATTTATTTTTCCAGCTGAGGCTCCCTTGTGAAAGTTGATACAATAAAAAATTTTGTTAGGCTGTTAAATTGTTGGTACTTCCTTAAAAGCAGTTGAATAGACACTAATTAGCTCTCATCTGCTTTTGGACCTTGGGTAAGTTCTCCTACAAATATTTCATTATATTGTTCTCCTTTTTGTCTGCCTTAGAGAATCATTTCTGAGTTTCAGAAAGGCAAGACAGGCACCATTTCACCTTAAAAGAGTAGCAAAATCTAAGGGGCAATTATTTTTGTTACTGTCATGGGAAATTTTTAATTTATTAGAATTTGATTTCTAATTGAGTAGCATAGAAATTCTATTTATTATTTTAACATGAATTTCTAAAAACAAAATTTGTGCTGTGAGTTTATAAATTGATGCTAATGTCCATTAAGTTTTCTTGTATTGTGATCAGATAACCTGCAACTGAGCTCTATCCCAAGCCTTGGTTGAAGAGATGGTTAAGGCATGTATTCATGAAAAGTATAGTGCTTCTTACTTAGCTGCTTACTTAGGGTTTAGTCAGTGAAATCTTACGTTGTTTCTAATCCAGTAAATATTCAAGGAGAATAGAGTAGGTTTGTTTTTCTCTATTAAGATGTACTGGTCCTGAATTACATACCATACTGTTGCTCTTAAATTCGTTTTGCTATCTTTTGGAACCTTCAGTGATAGTCTGAAGATTATTAAAATCACTTCTATTCTAACTGATATGTGCTGATGTGAAAAAGGATGGGTAGAGAGTCTCAAAAATTAGCTTAGTGCTCCCAGGAAACATAAGGCATGAACGAGAGAAGATTTTATATTGTTTTTTGTTTATCCACATTTGAGGCCAACTGCATGATTATAATTTTTTAGTGTATATAAAGGACTTAGACTTAGTTTATCAGCATGGAGTGGTTTTGCTCTTATCCAGGACACTATTTGGATTTTAAACATCTTTTGTTTCTGGATTATATCCTACCACAATGGGGGCATAAAGAATTTAAGCCAATATTCTTGGGGAGTGGAAAAAAGACAAGGAAAGGGAAAAAAATTCTTGGAGCCATGGAGAGTATTTGGTTAACTTTAATTTTCCCTCATGTTCCAAGTCAGGGCACCTTTACTATTCCTGCAGCTTGTATTCTTATTCCTTTAGTTAGTGAGCTGGCCCACCCATACTTACCTGTTCTTAAAACTTCCAGTATCCAGCTATCAGAAATCTTTTGGAGAAGAACTAATACCAAGTGGTCTGTGAGAATTATTCATTCATTTAGCCATTCAGCAATATTTATTGAGTGCCCACTATGTGCCAGGCACTGTTCTAGGTACTGCAGATATAAGAATAACTAAAACAGATTCTTTAAAAGAAGACATTCATCCACAGTAAATGCCTGCCTCTCCAATTTGAAGAACGTTATTTGATAGCAGGATGTATCTTTAGATACTTTATTGGCATTTAGAAGATTAAGGAGCAGTATGCTTCTCTGAAACAGTATCTTCCTATTTCTGTCTTTTTGCCTTAAAAAATTTTCATACCAGATGTTAAGGACTTTCATCCGAATGGTTATGTGTTTAGAAAAAAGCAATGATTTGTCTTTTTGCGGCCTGTTATTAGACCAGAATCTAACCTCTGAAATCAGTAACTGTGAGTACTTGCCTTTTGTACTCAGGGAGAACAATCCAACACTTGTGGAGGTCTTAGAAGGAGTTGTCCGTCTTCCAGAGACTGTACATACAGCTGTGCGATACACCAGCATTGAATTGGTTGGAGAGATGAGCGAAGTGGTTGATCGGAATCCTCAGTTTCTTGGTATGTGTGAACTCACTCCTCTGCAGCTGCTGAGAGTGATTTTTCTGATTTTGTTCTTTTGCTCTTGTTCACTTGTTCTCTATTTTTATTGGTAGGTAGACTATTGCTAGACACTGAGAGTAAATACTGTATTATGAGTTATTGCTTAGTTGACACAACATTTATAAACTGATCATCCTTTGAAGAAGGGATCTTTGAAAGATTAGATCTCTAGATAGGGAAACAGTTTGCTTCTAGTAGTCTGCTTTGGCATGAACATTGCTTTTAGTCTTTGGCACATGCTTGAGCTAATCAGAGTCCCTGTAGTTCTAACTTAGATGCTATTAATAGGCTAAAGCAAAGGAAAGGTTTTTTTCAGTGCTAAATACATGCTCCTTTTAAAAACCAAGAATTATCATTGGAAACAAAATAACTACAAATTAAAGTTAAGAATTTTGACTTACATAACCTTTGGATGCCCTTATTGGCTTGAAAAAATAAAGATTATACAGAGTAACTTTAGAATCACAAGTAAAGGTAGAAATCATTTATTTTATCCCTCTCATTTTGCAGATAAACAAATCCAAAGAGACTAAATAATTTATCTAGGGTAGTATATATTAAGCCCCCCTAATAGTCAGGAGTGATATGTTCTGAGAATTTTAAGAACCCCCCCAAACTCGTGAATATCATTAATTATATATTAAGTTTGATGTATTTCCTATGCTTATATTATTATCTTTTTTTTAAATTCCAGTATAGTTAACGTAGAGTGTTATATTAGTTTCAGGTGTACAATATAGTGATTCAACAGTTCTGTGCATTACTCGGTGCTCATCAAGATAAGTGTGCTCTTAATCCCCTTCACCTATTTCACCCATCCCCCCCCACCCCACCTCTGGTAACCATCCATTTGCTCTCTGTAGTTAAGAGTCTGTTTCTTGGTTGTCTCTTTTCTCCTTTGTTTGTTTTGTTTCTTAAATTCCACATATGAGTGAAATCATGTGGTATTTCTCTTTCTCTGATTTATTTCACTTAGCATTATATTCTCTAGATCCATCCATGTTGTTGCAGATGGCAAGATTTCATTCTTTTTTTATGGCTGAGTAATATTCCGATGTGTGAGTGTGCACGCATGTGTGTTTATACCCCTTCTTTATCCATGCATCTTTCAGTGGACACTTGGGTTGCTTCCATAATTTGGCTGTTGTAAATAATGCTGCATTAAACATAGGGGTGCATGCATCTTTTTGAATTAGTGTTTTCATATTCTTTGAGTAAATACCCAATAGTGAAATTACTGGATTATACATTTATTACCACCTTTCAGCTTGATTTTATTTTACATGTGATCTTTTTTATTGTTTGAAACTCTTGCTTAAAAAGTGATGTTTCTTTTTTCTTATTTCTGTATATAGAGCGTATGATAGACATGCTCACATTATAGCTGAGATACTTTCAACATACCATTTAAAGATTTTTCTCAAAATACCTATTTTCTAGGGGCACCTGGGTGGCTCACTTGTTAAGCATCTGCCTTCGGCTCACGTCATGATCCCAGGGTCCTGGGATCAAGCCCCACATTAGGCTCCTTGCTCAGCGGGAAGCCTGCTTCTCCCTCTCCCACTCCCCCTGCTTGTGTTCCCTCTCTCGCTGTGTCTCTCTCTGTCAAATAAATAAATAAAATCTTAAAAAAAAAAACAACGATTTTCTGATTCTTAGATTCTTCACTTCTATTATCTGTCTCAACATTTGACTTTCTTCTCTGAATGGTTTTCCACAAGAAACTAAAGTGGGTTTATTTGTTAAGCCTATCATTCAGTACCACCATGCAGTATCTCATTTAAATGTGTGCCTCAGCAATAAGACAAATTGCTGCATGTTTGTACTTACTTTAGAATAGTTAAAACAATGCATTCCATTTGAGAACACAGAAGCCTGCAGTATTATAGTTCCCTATACTGTATACTTAGTTCTTCTGATTCCTAGGCTTAAAAGTTTTAGGCTTCTTTTGTGGAGGGAGCCAGGGGTTCATTCTGGTTGGTGTATCATATCGGTCATTAGACTAGAAATGGAGATAACATTTTAATGTGCTTTATGACATTCTTTTGATTCCTTCTTTTATGGTTTGGTATGAGGTTACTCTGACATACTTATAAAGTGCTCTTTTAATCATAAGTGATTTTTCCATAGAAAATCATTCTGATTTTTATAAAGTAGGGTAAAAGACAAGTAGAATGTGCTTTATAGAAATTCACCAGTTTGATCAGTTTCTTTGGAACACTTACATTTGCTACAAAGTAGAACATTTACTAAAGCTCAATCTGCCTGTTTTTAAGGCCTTTTCTGACTATAAAGAAGTAAGTATAAAAGTGTCCACTTTAGATAACTGTCATTGTCCTGATTAACATAGGCTGTTTTTACATTGTGACTCATCTCTGAGTATAAATAATGGTAGCTCTCTGAGCTTTATATTCTTTCTTATATTACCTTATTCTTAATACTTGGATGGTCTTATCCACCACTGGTTTTCAAACCATGCTGTGTGAAGGCCTAGCCATGAGGAAAGAAATAGAAGGTGAATAGATAGGACCCAGGGCTCCCTGACACTATGTCAGTGAGATCAGCTCCTTTTTTTATGTTTTATATATTGGAGTTTGAACACATTTCATTTTTTTAAATAGTTCTCTTGCTTAAAAACGGGGGGGTGGGGGCAGGGATATAAACCTCTGTTCTAAGAAACTAGAAGTTTTCCTTGAGTTTCAGAAATGTAATCTCTACTGTGTGGTTTCTCTCCTTAGACCCTGTGTTGGGCTATTTGATGAAGGGCCTGTGTGAAAAGCCTCTGGCTTCTGCTGCAGCCAAAGCCATTCATAACATTTGTTCTGTCTGCCGAGACCACATGGCTCAGCACTTTAATGGACTCCTGGAGATTGCCCGTTCCCTTGATTCCTTCATGTTGTCTCCAGAAGCTGCTGTGGGCTTGCTAAAAGGTATTTACTCCAGATGTTAACCAGTAACATCTCTAAGCCACTTCTGGAGGGTTATCTTATACTAGTCATATCCCAGTTTTTCAGTTGCAGTATGCTTAGTGATGGAGAAAGTTGGCTGTTCCAGTCAGGGGAAGGTGTTGATTATATATACATGCATTCTTTTCTTAGAATATTTTAAGGCCATATAACTAATTCAAACTGCTTACAGTGTGTATAGCACAGACCTAAATTTTGGGGTGGCGATGACACATTTGAACTAAACATAGTTCCTTTTTGAGTTGGGGAAAGAATAAAAAGGGAGACCAGATAGCATTGCCGTACCAAAGTGGTAGGTGGAAATTTAAAAGGTAGTGTGTGTGGATCAGTCCTATCAGTAGAAACTTGGTCTCTTAGTGGTCTTTAACCATTATGGATCAACTTTACTCTCAGTGATTTCCTATCCAGAGACAAGCAGCCAAAGTGGTGATGAAGTTCAGAGTAAGAAGAACTAGAGATATTAAGGCTAGGAAAAAAGAAGAGACTTTAAGTATGATGGCTATTTTTAAATACTTGAAAGATTATCCTATAAAAGAGGGAACAGATTTATGAGTAGTAGTCAGTTGTTGACATGTACTGGCTTTTAGAAAGAAAACACTTTCTAACTAAACTCTGAAAACAGATTGGGGCACCCTGTGAGGTAGTGAAATCCTTACAGCTTGTAGTTAGAGGGGATTGAGAATATATCAAAAGATTGGGTAATATAACCTGTGTGGCATCATTTAAGCCTCTGTGAATAGCAAACAAGTAATCTTGGCTAGATTGGGTGACCTTGTGTGGGAACTAACTGATCTTTCGTATATCTATGGCCAAGTTCCTTTCCAGTCAGTGTATCTGCATTTTCCAAGACAGATTTTCTTTTTGTAGCGTGGGTTTTTGTTGTTTCCATTCATAGGCATAGATAATAAAGCATTGAACCAGAGTCAAATATTCTTACTACTTACTTACTGCTAGTGGTTATTTCTGCCATCTCGTAATTTTCTAGTGAAATTTAACCTTGATACTGAAGTGACGTCTAACCTGTATGTTGTAGGATGTGGCATCTCAGTCATCAGTGATATCTTCTTAATAAAGAAAACTTTTTATTTTTAGATTTTTTTAAAGATGTAATTATGGGGTGCCTGAGTGGCTCAGTTGGTTAAGCGTCTGCTTTTGGCTCAGGTCATGATCCCAGGGTTCTGGGATTGAGCCCTGCATCAGGCTCCCTACTCAGCAGAGAACCTGCTTCTCCCTTTTCCTCTGTCTCCTGCCTGTGCTCTCTCTTTCACGCCTCTCTCTATATACGTCAAATAAATAAAATCTTAAAAAAAAAAAAAAAAAGATGTATTTTGAGAGAGAGGGAGAGGGGCAGAGGGAGAGAGAATCCTAGCTGAATGGGGAGCCCGACTTGGGGCTCCATCCCACAACCCTGAGATCATGACCTGAGCCAAAATCAAGAGTCAGCCTCTTAACCAACTGAGCCACCCAGGTGCCCCATAAATACATCTTAAAAAAAAAAAAAATTAAAAAAATAAAAAGTTTTAATAACATTCTTTTCTGTGGGAATGAATTAAAAGGAAAAAGCATATTTAAGTTAGAGTCCCCTCTCCAGTTTTAAATAAGTCTAACTCACCCATGGCTTATAGACTACCAGGAAAAATCATTTAGTTTTTTCATTCACATTTGGACTTATGGATTGATTATTATTCCTTGGAATGAAATTTTGGAAGAGAGAAAAATCAGTCATGGAGTTTGTGTTTTGTTTTGTTTTTACCTTGGAAAACACCTAGACTAAATTTGGCTCTGGGGGAGATGGTTCAGCTTTTATGGGGATTATGACAAGAAGAAGGCTGAATGAGAAGGGTCTGGGCCTTCTATTCCCACTTTAGCTACTTTTTTAATAAATGTATTTTATTGGAGTTCCAAGTTAAGATTTTATTTAATAAAAGAAGGGGTCGGTAGGCTTTTGCAGCTATTTAAAAAATGAAAGAAAGGCAAACTAACTTACTCTTCTGTTCAAAGCACTCAAAATTTTACAGATGAAGAAACTGAGGCCCAGAGATAATACCTTACCTAGCTCATAGATTCTGTGATGCTGTAACTAGAATCAGATCTCTAATTTCAGCCCATTCTTACAAAAAAAATTGTCTGTTTCTCACACTTCTCTGATGATAAGAATTGCTTACAGTACTTATCAAAAATAAAGGCTGTCCTTGACATGCTAGATCAGAACCTCTGGGAAGTTTGAGAACCATTGTACTGTGCTATATAAAAATAGCTTTGGCATTGGCTTTGTGAAGGAGATTTTTTTTTAAGTATTTGAAGAATTGGAAGGGGAGATGTATTTAAACATCTTTAAACCCATAGTCTGCTGAGGAGAAAGAATTTAATATTAACTTCAGTTATAAATGTTAGTGTGAAGGTCACTTTGTTGTCTAAGCCAAATAAAGAGAAACCGACCTAAATAACAAGATACTATAACTGAAAAAGCAGTGTTGATCTTTTTAAAAGAATGAAACCAGCCGGCTTCTTCTGTTAGTCAAATGATGGAGACCAATGAATTACCTCAGTTCAGCTTTTATTTTGTTTTGTTTGTATTTTTCTTTGTCTTGCAGGGACAGCACTTGTCCTAGCCAGGTTACCTTTGGATAAGATTACTGAATGCCTTAGTGAACTATGTTCTGTTCAGGTTATGGCATTGAAAAAGGTGAGTCCAATTTAAAAAGGGGTTTAGTACATGTATATGATGTTTACATGTTAGGAAGGAAAAGACAGAATTTACAGGTGATCTTTTATCTACCTAGACAAGCCAAAAGAATGAACTAGAAAGTTATTAAAATTAATAAGTCTGTCAAGGGAGCTGCATACATGGAATAAGTATTCTAAAACCAGTAGATTTTCACTATCAGTAATACAATTTAGAAGATATAATGGGGAAAATACCATTCAAGTTAGGAACCAAAACCATAACGTACCATGTTTCCTTCAAGAATATTGTAAAGTTGTCAACTCTTCTCAAGTTACATTTATAGTGCAATAATAGAATTTGACATAATGACTCTGAAGTTTATCTCTAATGATATGCTGGTAGAAACATTTAAGAAATTTTAGGAGCGAATAAGAAGTAACTTGCTTTATCTCTTAAAATTTATTATGAAGCCTTAGTCATTTTAAAGTGTTGTAATAAAAAAAAAGCAAAAAAAAAGTGTTGTAAAAGAAAGTGAAATAAAGATATAGATTATATAATAATGTTACATATGATCTATATTATATAATGTCTATAATGTCTTGGTCATTATAAAAGTAAATGGGAAAAAAATTAAATAATACTGTTTTCTACTCCACAGTGATCATGTAGTGAAATGTAGTAATATGCAGTCTTGGCTATGATGCAGTAAGGTGAAGGAAAGGAATTTGACAATATGAATTTAAAAGTTTGCACTATTTGAGTTTGCACCACCCTAGAAGGAAATAAGCAGAGATTGAGAGGGAAGTTGATGTAAGGGTGTATGTTGCAGTGCTTGCAGTAGGTATGTATGTGTAACCACAGGGTATTGATGCCTCTCTGTCTCTTCAGCTGTTGTCTCAGGAGCCCAGCAATGGTATATCCTCAGATCCCACTGTGTTCTTAGATCGCCTTGCAGTAATATTTAGGTAAGAAGGGAGACTGGTTCCCTGCCTTGGGTTAATGCTCAAATAAGACCATTGTGTATTGAAGAAAGCAAGTGTTGTTTTCCTAAACTTCAGGTACCGCCTATAATCTCTTCTCTGAGGAGACTGATAAGCCCATTACCCGAAATTTTGGTGCAAAGACAAATTCTAAGAATATGTTCTTGGCAGACCTCTGTCAAAAGATCCTCTAAAATGAAATTAAAATTTTTGGTCTCTAGATTGGTGATTATCAGACTTTAACATGCACCACAGCCATCTGGAGGGCTTATCAAAACAAATTGCTGGGTCCCATCCCCAGAGTGTCTGATTCAGTTGAATTTTGGGTAGGACCCAAGAATTTACGTTTCTTTTTTTTTTTTTTTTTAAGATTTTATTTACTTGAGAGAGAGAAAGAGAGAGAGAGCGCATGAGAGGGGATAGGGTCAGAGAGAGAAGCAGACTCCCTGCTGAGCAGGGAGCCCGATGCGGGACTCGATCCCGGGACTCCAGCATCACGACCTGAGCCGAAGGCAGTCGCTTAACCAACTGAGCCACCCAGGCGCCCCAGAATTTACATTTCTAATAAGTTCCCAGGTGATGCTGTTGCTGCTGCGTGCTATTCCAAGGACCACACTTTCAGAGCTATTGCTGTGTTTTATAGGGGTGCAAAAAAATCATGAAGCCTTTTCATTGATCAGGTGAAATTAATCCTTCTTTGAAGGATCTTTCTTTGAAGTCAAGAGGAGCCTAATGATTAAAAAAAGCACTTGAGTTTTGAGAGCTTTTTTTTTTTTTTGGGTTCTTTCCAGTTTACCTAGTTTTTCTTTGAGAGCTTTTTATAAATTGTCAGACCCATAGATATAACTGGAATATCAGAGTAGTTGTTACGTAAAAGCCTATGTGGAGTAAGTTAAAACTGAGGTGTGTTAGCTTATGTGTTCTTGTCAACAGGTTTTTCTTTTTAATTTGGTGCAATGCTTTTCTTATATAATCATGATAGCCCTGTTACATGACATTCTGGAATCCCAACCAACAGTCCTTATTTCACAATAAATGGAAGGAAAATCTGCAATAGATGGAAATCCCCCAATTTAAAGAAAATGAGATTTTTATTAAGTTGCTGTTGAGCTTATTGAAATTAAAAAATTTCTTTCTTTTAAAGAGGTTCGTAATCATACAGGATTTTTTTGCTGCTTTCTTTCAGATTAGTGGATTCTAGAACTAGACAAGTAATTGGATTTGACATACTGTGAGTGGGCCCATATCATACATCACTGGGTTCAGACTAGAACCATGAGAAACATCTTGGGTAGATTAGAATTTCTGAAGCTTTTGCCTTTTAATGCTGAGAGTGGAATAGTACTTTGTTTCTTATAGTGGATTTAGATAACCTGGTTTTTAATTAATATTTTTTATTAATTTAGAAGAGTACTTATTCTGGTTTTAAAGAGAAAAAAAAGAAAAAGATAATTGTAGTGCTCCACAACCCATGTTAAGCCAGAGTTAGATTGAGTTCCCATGCTTTAGTGGAAGTGGCTTAAAGGTGGCAAAAAAAGGGGGAATGATTTAAACTATGTGCTTGTTTGACTGAATTGAAGGAAAAAGTGTTGAGTCATAAATAACTTTATTATTTTGGTATTCTTTATGTGGTGACAATATTACCAAGTAAGCTAGCAGGGTTCGGGGCTGTGGCTCTTCAGTTAAATTGCTCTTCTTTTACTATTTTGGGTTGTTGCCTTTCCCCAGACACACCAATCCCATTGTGGAAAATGGACAAACTCATCCGTGCCAAAAAGTCATACAGGAAGTAAGTGCTTAACGGATGCCTGTGGTACAAGGCTTTCTTCCTTTTTCCTTACAAGGCTGTGGGTAACTAAAGTGAGAAGGTATTGTCTTCTAGGTCCATAGGAAGATTCAATTTGTTGATACAGTTGATACAGTTTAAATTTCAATGAATAGAAGAATTTATATTCAAATAAATATTTTTTACTTAAGATTTGATAAGAAAACAGACTGTGGGGAAATGCACTCATAGTCCAGAGAAGTAGAGAGAGATTAACTATGTGAATCCTGGAGTTGCTAGGAGGCCTGATTAATACTAGCAGAATTTTTTTTTTGACAAAGCCATTTATCCCTCACGGCTTTTGTTTCCCCATTGTAAACACACTTCTACTTTTTTCACTGAGGGTAATATGAAGATCAAAAGGCATGTTTTGAGAAGTGCTTTTCAGACTTCAGGGGGGAAACACCAAGTATCCATAAGTGTTTGACAGTATCAAATAATGCCTTTTTATTAGCTGTGCCCTTTTGTTCAAAGAATTCCAAATCAGAACTGTCTTTAAACATCTATTCCTCTATAATTAATACTAATTCTTTTCATCCTAAATCGGGAATTCCGAAGTTTATCTTTTAGTGAAGTTAGACATGCTCTTCTTCCTGTTCTAAAGAGTCACTGTGCTTCTCTTAAGAAGTGGTTGTGTTTTTAGTGATGGATAGCATATTGAGTACACACTCAACGGACTCATGCACACTAGATTCAGGCTACGTGTTTTCCTATAAAGAAAGCTTTTCCCAAATTATTTGAAAACCAAATCAGATGTTACCAACTTGGGAGCATTTTTTTTTTTTTTTAGCCCTTAGTTGTTCACTGTTTTCTTTCTTGTGCTCTTGGACTTTTGACTCAGATATGGCCAGTTTTATCTGAGACTCTAAATAAACACCGGGCTGATAATCGGATTGTAGAGCGTTGTTGCAGGTGCCTCCGCTTTGCTGTTCGCTGTGTAGGCAAAGGATCTGCAGCCCTGCTTCAGCCACTGGTTACACAGGTAAGTTATTCCTGAGAGGGAAAATGTAAAGTGTACAGAATTTGAAGTAGGAGTCTTTATTTCTTTTTTAAAGATTTTATTATTTGGGAGAGGGTAGGGGGGAGCAGGAGCGGGGGGAGGGGCAGAGGGAGAAGGAGAAGCAGACTCCCCGCTGAGCAGGGAGCCTGACTTGGTCCCTCTCCCAGGACCCTGAGATCATGACATGAGCTGAAGGCAGACGTTTACCTTACTGAACCACCCCTGAAATAGGAGTCTTTAGAACAAAAACTTTGCTGATGAAATGAAACACTTTTGTATTTATTAAATTACAAACTCCAAAATATTTGAAAGAGATAAGTAGTGCCTATGGTATGTTGTCTCTGAGGGAAACTGCCTATAATCTATTCTGTATAGTAATAGTCTAAATAGTAACACATTTCCACTGTAAAATTAAGAAGAGAACGACTTTAATGCTCAGTTCTCATATACCAGCGCTAAGCATTTTTATACTAATTTTTCTTTTTAAAATGTGTCCCGTCAAATTTTGCTGTTTCTTGGCCGGCCCAAAGGAATTTTTTCTGTCTCAACCACAGGTGATCACATAAGTCTGTTATTTGTCAAGAAATGTTTGACTTTTTTATAATCACCAAGATTGATATGTAATTATGATGGTGTGACTCAATCACATTCACATCAAGAACTATTCTATATACGAAGCCTGTAACTAGTAACTTAGTTCACTAAGCAATTTGATGTTAACCTTACAGCAAAGCCAGGACTAGATTGAGGCAAGGCAAAGTGTCAGCCTTGGCATTTGCAGGACTTGGAGCAAGTGCCTTCTTAGGTTTTGCATCCATGCCTTGAGGGAAAATGCACAGCTCCAGGCTGGGCCACACCCACCTAGCCAGAAGTGACCTTTGTCTACCTGGACAGTATATCCATGGTGCAGATTTTAAGGAGGCAAACCCTCTGAAGAGCTGACCCTGACAATGAGTGCCCTCTTAAATTTTTTTAAATTTTAAATTTTATTTTTTAAGTAACTTCTACACTCAGCGTGGGGCTTAAACTCACAAACCTGAGATCCAAAGTCATATGTTCCACTGACTGAACCAGCCAGTTGTTTTTTTGTTTGTTTGTTTTTATTTATTTGTCAGGGAGAGCATAAGCAGGGGGAGTGGCAGGCAGGAGAAGCACGCTCATGTTGGGCAAGGGGCCTGATGCAGGACTCGATCCCAGGACCCTGGGATCATGACCTGAGCCAAAGGCAGACGCTTAGCCGACTGAGCCACCCAGGCACCCCCCCGCCTTTTTAAATAGAATTTGTACAATATATTTCTCTTCACTTGCATATTTTACCCACAACTTAACATTCTTTTTACAGGCTGCACTCAGCTTGATAATAATCACAATTCCTTTCAAACAAATAAGAAAAATTCAAAATCGTAAACCCATAAGAAAACAAATTAAAAATGTTGAAAATAAGTCACCCCTCCCATTAGGAGCAGTGTCCATTTGTACAATATATAGGGTTTGGGTTAGAATCTCTTTATGGATCAGGCACATGTTTTCACGACACCTTTATTCTTGCCAGTTTTATTAGCTCCTGCCTGGCAACTCTGCTGGTCTTGGAGGTGTCGGTTCCTTGGTGGCACCTGGGAGCTGAGGCGGGTGGGATGCAGGGCGGCCGGGCTGATGGGGCAAGCAGGGGAGAGCAGCAGCTGCGTGCAAAGCAGAACCTGGGCTCGCTCTTTGCAAAGTCGTCAGAGAGACCAGAACAACAAGGGCAAGGACAGACAGCGGGCAGAGGCCGGCATTTATTTACAGTTCAGCCTCCTGAGGATTGTGGTGACTGCCCCCAGAGGTGTGACCCTGCCCTGCCTGTCTCTCCTAGGCACCTCATTCTTAAGGAAGCACGCACCCTCAAGTAGGGTCATGCTACTGCAATATCAGTTGGCATATGCACAGCCCTGCCTCCTTTATATTGTAGATTTGATTAAAGTTTACATTTACTGTACCCTGAGGACACCATATGTTTGTACTGCATGCGTTTCCACCTTTGGTTATATGTCCTCTTCAGTGTAATACATTCTGGGTCAAACATAACTTGATTTAATACCCCTTTGCTGTTAGAGGATGCCCTCATGACTTTGATTTTTTTTTTATTCCTGCTAATTAAGTATGTGACCAACCCACTTGAGTAGCACCTTGTATAGGAAATGTGTTCTAAAGACAGTATATGTGAAAAAATGAAAAGTATTTTTTAAAATTCAAAAATCAGAGGTCAGCAAACTAGAACCATTGGGCCTATTACCTGGTTTTATAAGTGTAGTTTTACTAAGAGGTTGCCATGCTTACTCATTTAAGTATTCTGTATTGGCCATTTGTGCTGTGGTGGCAAAGTTGAAAAGACAGATCATATGACCAGCAACGCCTAAAATTTTTACTATCTGGCCCTTAAAGAAAACGTTTACCAGCTCCTGACTTAAATCATTCATTATGTAGAGCATATAGTTTTGAGTATACAACACCAAATAGAGTCATAGCTCTCATCACATGCCCATTCCATGGTATACGTTAATAATAAGAGTCAGTCACTTTGTCTTTCAGCCCCCACCACACTCATTGAGTTGAATTTATATAATAAAACCAGTACATTTGGTTAAGCGTCCGATTCTTAGTATATGTGCTGCCGAAGCGAGCACTAAGCGTCCGATTCTTGATTTCAGCTCAGGTCTTGCTCTCAGGGTCATGAGTTCAAGGCCTGTGTTTAAAAAAAAAAAAAAATCAATACATGTGTTGTGATGGCATTTTAAATAGATAAATGTGCAGATGCCTCTTAATTTTTGGAGGAGAATAGGGAAAAAATGCTGAACAAATCATTTAATTCAAATATGTATATTGTATTAACATTTTTATTCTCTTGAGATCCAGGTATCTTGAACAGAAACACTTTTTTACTTAAGAGTTTAAGTAGAGGGGTTTAGAAACAATTCAAAATTTAAACAGTGCTTTCACAGTTTCTTTCAGGATAAGGGTATTTGGTATTTTTAGCCCTGCTATAGCTATATATGCTTTCTTTCTTTTTTTTTTTTTTTTAAGAGTTAACCTTTAATGCAAATAAGGACAACCTTTAGGTATTGGGATTTATGCTAGGATTTTGCAAATAGCTTGGATGATTGCATCTTAACGGCTTCCAGCTCAAACTACATACAGCTCTCTTACAACGTTGTCTTGGGAAGATAAAAGGTCAAAGGCTGGAAGGACTCTGAAAAGAGTACTTGAAAATTATTGAAAAATTGAGCCCTGTGTTTCAAAAAATGTTGCCAACAAGCTTTACTATGTTGTCTTAAAGAGAAGAAACCAGTCTGTCTCTGAATTTCTTCCAGACAGTTTCCTAAGTTGATACTTAGGCGGGTAGAGAATTGAACAACTGGTTTCTCCCTTGGCAGATGGTGAATGTGTACCACGTACATCAGCATTCCTGTTTCCTGTACCTTGGCAGTATCCTTGTGGATGAATACGGCATGGAAGAGGGCTGTCGGCAGGGACTACTAGACATGCTCCAGGTCTGTTTTCCCTGGGGAGTATCTTGGAGGGACTAAAGCCCTGAGCGGTTTGTTCTGCACCATGTTTTGAATTCTCTTGCTTCTCATTGTTTATCCTCCAGGCATATTGATTTCCTAATAACAGAGAGGTAGAAACTTGCTAGTTGTTCTCTGGATAGACATGCCTGGGAGAATGAGAAATTGACCATATATGACTGTAAGGATCATTACAGCTACTACTGCCAAATTTATGCTCTCTAAAGATAATGGTTTTTTGAGACGTGGAAAAGGGAACAAATGGATATAAAACAAAAGATCTGTAAGCTCAAGCATGATTCTATTTTTAGGTTCTTGCCTAGAACAACCAGTGAACTAACTCACTTATTAGCAGGGATGGTCATAGGGTAAATAGCAGGCATTAGAAAAGGCTCTTGATACACTGCTTTTTTCCCCTCCTAGTCATAGGGAGGAAAATATATTAGGGAGTTAATGATGCTCCTTTTCACAAGATGTCTTGCCCTTTAAAATTGACATTTCATGTGACACCTGGGTGGCTCAGTCAGTTAAATGTCCGACTCTTGATTTTGGCTCAGGTCATGATCTCAGGGTTGTGAGATCGAGTCCCACATCAGGCTCTGGGCTGGGCATGGAGCCTGCTTAAGATTATCTCTCTCCCTCTGCCCACCACCCCCACTGGCACGCTCTCTCAGAAATAAAATCGACATACTATCCTTAAAACTTGAAAAAAAAGTTCATGTACTCCTTTAGTGGACTTGACCGTATCTAGTACATAAGCAGCCTTTACTTTCAGAAACTTCTAAAATTTTCTTTTTTTTGAGAGAGAGAGAGACAGAAAGCAAGCTGGGCAGGGAGCGTGGGAACAGGGAGAGAGAATCTTAAGCAGGCTCTCCGCCTAACATGGAGCCCAACACAGGGCTCACTCTCATGACCCTGAGATCATGACCTGAGCCGAAATCAAGAGTTGGACGCTTAACTGGGCCACTCAGGCGCCCCCGGAAACTTCTAAAACTTTGAGATGACATCTGTCCAGTTTCATCAACGAAAATTTATACCCTCAACCCTTTCTGAAATGTGGACTTCATATGTGAAAACTCTATCAATTGAGAAAGATTTCTCTCTTCCTTTTCTTGATCTGATTCTCATCATAGTCTTTTTCTTTTCCCACTTTGCTTCCCCCACTTTATTCCTTTTGTATATGTTGTGATATTTAGCAAGCCTGAATGCTGTTGGATTTATATACTAGCATTTATTTAAAATCACTGTTCTGTTTTAGGCACTGTGCATCCCTACCTTTCAGCTGCTGGAACAGCAGAATGGGCTCCAGAATCACCCTGACACTGTGGATGACCTGTTCAGGCTGGCCACCAGGTCAGTCCTTCTGAAGAGCAACCCTTTCTTTTATTGCTTATCCCCATCACTGCTTCGTCTTGTCATGTAACACTTGACTGTATGCTTCTCTATAAAATGAGGTTAGTGAAGTATAGGTAGGTTAATGATTCATAGCCCTAAGTTAAATTGTGAACCAGAATATCCCTGTAAGTGAGGAAAAGGAGTTGGATGGGAGCAGGGTAAAGCAGCTGGGTTTCTGTCACAAAGGAGAGAACATGGACAAGACAATTAAAACCAACTTTGTAAAAACATTTGACTAGAAAATCTCTAGAATCCCCTGTAGTTTTAACTTTCTGTGCTGCTCTGATGACATGTTCCACTTCAGCTTTTTCCTTTAGGAAGCTTGGCATCCTTTAGATATAATCACATCTCAGAGTAAAAAATTCTTAGGATTTTAAGGTGCCTTAGAAGTTATCTTGTTTTGCACTTCTTGGTTCTGCACCCAGCTTTCCACCCCAGTTTTTGCTTAAATTTCCCTTTACCAGTAACACTGACTTATATTATTGCCAAACCTTTGAATTCCTTCTTTAGTCCCAAGCTAAGGAATTTAAACCAAATCAGTTAGTGAACATAGAAGCATTTAAAAATTATGAAAAATAGATTATTATATGTAATTATACATTTAATACATACCTTATCACAAATGCGAAATAGTATTGACTATTTCAGGATTGTATGTCGAACGCTTTTTTGGTTAGTTTTTGGACAAGTTAGAAACACCTTTGTTGTTGTTGATACGGGAGAACGTTGGGTGGACTCTCCAGTCTCTCTTTTCCCAGTGTGTGTTCCTTGAAAAACTGATCCCCAGAGATGCTCTTTGCACAAATAAGCATTGTGAAGTAAATTTGGAAAATATTGTATCTTTTTTGTGGAGATTCTCCATGTACATTAAAGGGTCTGAGAAATCTTGTGGGACATTGAGTGTAAAGTTTAGAGAGTTCCCATATGCCAGTGCTCACCTGCCCCCGCCATGGCCTCCCTCACCGTCAACATCCCCCACCAGAGTGGTCCGTTTGTTGGAATTGATGAACCTATATTAATATGTCATTATCACCCAAAGTCTATAGTTTACATGAGGATTCACTCTTGGTGGTGTACCGTTTGTGGATTTGGACAAATGTGTAATGACATGTATCTACCAATATAATACCATACAGAATAGTTTTAATACTGTAAAAATCCATGTGTTCACCTGTTCAGCCCTCCCTCACCCTCTAACTGCTAGCAACCACTGATTTTTTACTGTCTCTATCCGTAGTTTTGCCTTTTACTCTGGCTGCTTGTAGAACCTAATCCTGTCATTTATATCTAGCCTGTCTTTCCACACCAGATTTATTCAGCGTAGCCCTGTTACCTTGCTGAGGAGCCAAGTGGTCATCCCTATCTTGCAGTGGGCCATTGCCTCCACTACCCTGGACCACCGGGATGCCAATTGCAGTGTCATGAGGTTCCTACGAGACCTTATCCATACAGGGGTAGCCAATGATGTAAGTATAAACATTGTACCTTGCTACTTTGCAGCTCATCACTTTTTACATCTCTTCCTCATTTCTTAGGGGAAAACCAGATTCTTGTTATTTGATCTATATTGGTAGGTACATACCATTCACTAACCAAAACATTAACTATTAGATTTAAGACAGCCTCTACTAGGTGCTGTAAGGTATATATTAACAATCTAAAAGTATTTCTCCTCCCATGTCATTCAAGGTTTAGTAGAAGAGATAAACAGATATGAATATTTAAATAACAATAGGAAGGCAGTATTTGATTGCCAAATGAGTGATAAAAGTCATGATTGCTATGAGATCAGAGGAGGGAAAACTCCTTGGTCAGAAGTGGGTTGGGATTAATTTCTGGAAGAAGAGGGACTTCAGTGGGACCATCGGATATAGGTGTAATTTGGATGGATCAGAGAGGGGAGGATAGTCTTAACTGGGGCATAAATCACAGAGAAAGTCAGGATAGTTGGGCTGGAGTAGTAAAATGGTTCACAAAATTTTCAAGGTAGATTTGGCTAAATATGGATTAGAATTTAAGGTAATAGAGAACAGTGAAGGAATAAGCAACTATGTGAGTGGGCTAATTATTCAAGAAGTTTGGTCATAAAAGGAGAAAGAAAAAGAAGAAAACTAGATGTGAAAAGCAATTTATAAAAAGTTATTTCTGGGGCTCCTGGGTGGCTCAGTTGTTGAGCGTCTGCCTTTGGCTCAGGTCATGATCCCAGGGTCCTGGGATTGAGCCCCACATCGGGCTCTCTGCTCCTCGGGAAGCCTGCTTCTCCCTCTCCCACTCCCCCTGCTTATGTTCCCTCTCTTGCTGTCTCTCTCTGTCAGGTAAATAAAATCTTTAAAAAAAAAAAAAAGTTATTTTTTTCAAGATATTAGAAATAAATGTATAGACTAGAGAGAGGAAGAAAATAAGGTTTTTTTGATAGAAAAGATTAGGTATCTGATAGAAGTCTTTGATTGTTTATTCACTTAGTTTTATTTTATTTTATTTTTTTTAAAGATCATGGGATCATGACCTGAGCCGAAGGCAGATGCTTAATGACTGAGCCACCCAGGTGCCCCAATTCAGTTGGTTTTAAAAAAGGAAATAGGAACACTTTATTTTTCTCTGAAAAATAATTAAAATTGCTACCTGTAACCTTTAGTCATTGTTTCTCTTCTGCTTTCTATTCATGAAAAAATCTAAGGGTTAAGGTTAATCTCAGCTGAAATCCATGCCCATTTCCTTGATACTAAATTCTTGATATTTTCTTCCTAAGGACAGAACATTTTATTGGAGTCTGTGAATCTAGCTGTTATATATTATATATACTTCCTTTTCCAGGAAGGAGGAATTATTAGAGTGGAGAGTTGAAATTAGAACTCATCTTTTGCTCTTGTTTCCTTATAGCATGAAGAAGACTTTGAATTACGGAAAGAACTGATTGGACAGGTGATGAACCAGCTTGGACAGCAACTTGTAAGCCAACTGCTCCACACGTGCTGCTTTTGTCTCCCTCCCTATACCCTACCAGATGTGGCTGAAGTACTCTGGGAGATCATGCAGGTTGACAGACCGGTAAGATTGTTTTCAGGAAGAACCCATTCTCATAGTCCTTAAACTTTGGTCCCTGGAGGCAGACTATAATTTTGAAACCAGCTCTGTTGTATATTCATGGAACCTAATCTAGGCATATTGCTAAGTTTAATTATTAGATGAAGGGGCCTATAGAAGGCCAGTAATTCATTATTAGGTTTTTAAAGCATGTTGGTGTCACTGTCACAGGGTTTATATTACCTGAAGTGAATACTAAGCATTGAATTCAGCTGTGTGGCTGGCCAGTGAGAAATTTGTTCACTTGTGAGAGATGCCCATATATCAGTTACATAGTAGTACAGGTTATTCAAGAAGTGAATTTACTCCAAGCTCGTTAGATAGCACTGTATGGTTTTCCTTGGTAATAAATCTAGCCAGAGCATTTGGGGATACAGAAGCAGAAAATCAGCTCACAATATACACTTGGATTTCTCCTTTGGATTAACTTGCATCTTGTTTCAATTCTTGATCCAGGTCATTTATCACCTGAGCATGGAAGGTTTTTTTAGGCTATCCAGTATTTTCCAAATAATATCAGTACTGGGCCACATGATCACAAATCAAGTTATGTGTACTGCATGAAAGTTTTGAGCATAGTGGTAAAGTACACATAGCCTATACATTATTTTTTAAATAGTATTTATAATTTTTTTAATATTGAAAGCAGTTTAGAAAAGTGCACAGTTGGTTCTAGTTAAAGTGAGCTGTCTTCCAGAACTACAGAAAAATCCAGATGCACAAGTTTATTGTAACTTTTAAGTCCATATGCATCTTAATGTTGTCTCTTGCTTTGTATCATTGATGACATATGTTAGCCTCAACTTCAGCAGTTTCACAAAACAGAGTACACTTTTATGGTTAGATTCTGATGTTACTGAGCCAGAAGTTCTGCCTTGGATTTGTGTGTTCATCTCCAAAATTCAGTGATAAGTTTATATTAGTGAGCATCTGCTTTTCTTGATCTTTGGCTAAAATGAAAGGTGGTCATGTGTAGGGCAGATGCTTGATAAATTTCTAACATTTTCTTTAGGTTTATCTTCCAAAACAGCCACATGAACTTTTTTTTTTTAAGATTTATTTATTTGAGAGAGAGAGGGGACAAATAGGAGGGGCAGAGGGAGAGGGAGAGAGACTCTCAAGCAGACTCCGAGCTGAGTGCAGAGCCCAACACGGGGCTCAGTCTCAGGACCTGAGCCTAACGAAGAGTTGGACGCTTAACCGACTGTGCCACCCAGGCACCCCTAATTCTTCTATACCAAACTCTTGAGGCTTCTATGTGACTTTGGTTTCATCAGGTAGCTCTGTTCTTCCATGTAAGCTCAAGTGCTTCAGGAATGAATAGTATCTACAGGTCCTATTGCTAGTTGTTCAGCATGTTCTTGATTTCAATCTAATATGGCTATATTTTTGTGTTTTCGTAAAGAAAGTACTCAGTAAACCCCATCAGTGCCAACAGGTTTAATTACAAAAGCACTTGACATGAGAAATAAAATTTCCATACTGTTAACTTTTTACAAACATACTTGTTTCCCAGGTATCAGAAAACTTACTATGTAAATTTAACTTTATAAAAACATTCTTGGGGTGCCTGGGTGACTTAGTTGGTTAAGCAGCTGCCTTCAGCTTAGGTCGTGATCTCGGGGTTCTGGGATCGAGCCCTGTGTGGGGCTCCCTCTCACAGGGAGTCTGCTTCTCTCTCTCTCTCTCTCTCTCAAATAAATGGATAAAAAAAACTTTAAAAAAATAAAAATAAAAACATTCTTATTTTGTAAACATATGGTTAAGTGCTAACAGAGGAAGAAAATTACAAAAGTAAGTTGAGGCAGGAACAGAAACCAGATATCCATGGGCTCATAAGAGTTTACTATATAGATAGGTACCCACAGAATGGGTGTCAAAAAATTTAAAGTGATTGTTTTCTATAAACATCAACTTACAACTGAGTTTTTGTAAATGAACTCTTACATAAATACAGGTTGTCCGTACCCTGTAAACTGATTGAGATTCTAAGGATGTAAGCCCAAAGAAAATTTGCATTCTTGAGCACTTTCTTAATTTTGTACCATTTTCAAAATTCAACACGCAGGAGGGATTTTTCAATAGAAGATGGCTTATCAGCTTTGTCATGTGACGTGAATATACGTGAATGTATTTAAACCCTTACCTTCTTTGTTGGATACCCATCTGTGGCAAATTTATTCAGTGCTTTCAACCAGATTTCTCAGATTCCTTTATTAGAAAGTGATGAGACCCATTGTGTGCTAGCTGACTAGTTTTCTTTTTAGTTTCTTTTCTTATTCTTGGTTAGGGCTATATTGTAGTTAACTCATAGGCTGTTTTTGGATGCCAAAACTTTTATCAGTTAAGGGTTCTTCCTGAATCTCTTGCCCCTCCTTGTTTGTCTTAGTAGAGTGTTATCTTCCTTGGGGGCAACATTTGGAGAATTATGCAGGACTTCTTAAGCATTTATAATGTAATGTTTACTTTTGTTCCAGTTTGTTATCATAAATGAACATAATGGGGGAATATATAATGTTAAAAATTTAGTTATAAAAGGTTATTTTATTGCTGAAAACTACGACCAAGGTGTACATCCTACTTAAGAAAGGCATGGAAAATTTAAAGCTAACTCAAAGAACAGTTCAACTGAAAATAACCCAGAGGAAGTCTCTGGAATTTGATTTTTAGTTTGAAGAGGAAGGAAGTAAGGGGTTTTTTTGTGCATATGAAAGGTATAAAGAGACTATGCTCAGATGTAAATAATATTCTTTTACAACATTTTTTTTTAAAGATTTTATTTATTTATTCATAAGAGACAGAGAGAGAGGCAGAGGGAAAAACGGGCTCCCTGGGACTTGATTCCAGGACCCTGGGATCATGACCTGAGCCGAAGGCAGACACTTAACCATCTGAGCCACCCAGGCGCCCCTACAACATTTTTTTAAAAGATTTATTTATTTGAGAGAGAGAGAGTGTGCACAAGTCGGGGGAGGGCCAGAGGGAGAGAGAGAGAATCCCAGGCAGACTCCCTGTTGAGCAGTGGATCCCACAACCCATCAGATCATGACCTGAACCGAAACCAAGAGTGAGACGCTCAACCCACTGAACCACCCAGGCACCCCAATAATATTCTTTTAAGTAGCAACCAGAGTGAGCAACAAAATTTTCTGACCCAAAGAACAGGCAGGTATCACAAAGGAGGTGACTGGATATGACTATTCTACTGAGAGAGTTGACTTTAAAATCCTTTAGACCCTGGATTCATATTATTTATATATTCTCTGACATGTTTACTTAACTATACTTTTTTTTATTTTTAAGATTTTATTTATTTGACAGAGAAATAGCAAGAGCAGGAACACAAGCAGAGGGAGTGGGAGAGGGAGAAGCAGGCTTCCTGCCGAGCAGGGAGCCCGATGCGGGGCTTGATCCCAGGACCCTGGGATGGGATCATGACCTGAGCCGAAGGCAGATGCTTAATGACTGAGCCACCCAGGCGCCCCTTACTTAACTATACTTTTTGTCCTTGCTCTTTGTGGTACTGAACTTTTGCTGTAGGTTGCCTTTGATCTTTACACTCAAGAGTTTTCTGGCAGCTGTTTAATTTTTGAAATATTACAGAAGTTTAATGACAAACAGAACAATAGTCTCATCCAAAAGAGACTTCACTTCTAAGGTAGAGAAGGGCTGTCTGAAATGATGCCTGCTACACCTTTGAAGGGAAGTCTAGGTTTGCCTTTGTAGACTACTCCAAACCCCAGAGGGTTGGAAGGCCTAAAGATAGTAGTGCTTTTGTTAATTCCTTTCCTTACTTCCAAGTCGTGAAGAGCTGATGCTGCTAAGAAAAACCTGCAGGTTTTGTTATTACTTGTAGGGTCCAGTTGAGTAAGTCCTGCCTCCTCTTAAAACTCTTACCGTCTCTCTGCACAGACTTTTTGTCGATGGTTAGAGAACTCCTTGAAAGGTTTGCCAAAGGAGACAACTGTGGGAGCAGTCACAGTGACACACAAACAACTTACAGATTTCCACAAACAAGTCACTAGGTGAGTGATGTGAGGTTTTTTTTGGTTTTATTGTTTTTTTTTTAATGTGAACAGAAATGGGTGTGCAGAAAAAATATATCTTTGTTTCTTATACCAGATTTACCCAAGAGTATGTTTCTGTGTGCCTTTGTAAATTCACAACTTAGTGTCTGTTTAGCATTGACTTGCACAAATTGACATTAGATACCAATCTGAGAGGAAATATCATCATGCCGTATAGGTGTGCATCAATTCTACTGTACAAATTTATTAACTGGTCTGGTATAAGATCTTAATGGGTAAGTGGAGGCGTTATCTCTTCCAAAAGAAAAATGCATTCATCAGTCCACTACCCTTCACAAGATCTGTCTTTATCTTTCTGAAGTCCTCTGTTCTCATCTGTATTCTGGGGTCAGGAATGCAGATGTGAATAGGCGAAGCATTAGTTGTAAAACATAGATGATGTAAATTGCAGTGAATTGGAAAATTTTCACTGTGCCTAAAGATACTGAAATTCTAATGTCATGCAGGCCAAACAAAATCTCTCTCTGAGATGTATTAGGCCCATGAGCTGCTTATTTACAGCTTAGTAAAAATGTTAAGTATACATGAGTATTTTTTACTGTGAACCCATAGTAAACATTTTAAGTGTAACTACATAGTCTTCCTAATTACTACTTTATAGCCAGAAAGCATTACTTAATTTCTGTACAGTGCCTCTATTAGTAGACATTTAGATTATTTTTTAGTATTACGGGTAATATTAAAACCCTAGCCTTTTCCTTCTTTTGACTATTTTCCTTAAAATGCAATCACTGAATCAAAAGGTTATGAGATTTTTATGGCTTTTGGTAGTATTAATGGTAGCAATTTTGTAACTGTGTGCTACCTTACCCTGATAACGCCTTTTTATATATCTAGAATCTCTAGAATTTTGCCTAAATTTTAGGCATTGGCTTATATGCATACAGTAGTGGAATGATTTACGGGTCCAAGCATGAGTGTTGCAGTAAGGTTTGGTAATAGTGAAAAACACTGGAAATATTCTAATTGCTCATTAATAGAGAATGGTTAAATAATTAACAGAATGTAACTAAAGAGGCACTAAAAAAGGAGGAGCAAGAATATGCATGTCATGCTACAGAAATTTATGTAAGTATATTATAAAGGGAAAAAATAACAGTATCATATAACCCAACTTGTACTGACAATTTTTTTTAACTTCTAATTGTGATAAAATACACATAGAATTTATTTTAACCATTCCCAAGTATACTGTTCAGTAGTGTTAAGCACATTCACGTTGTTTGCAATCAGTTTCCAGAATTTTTTTCATCTTATAAAACCAAAACTATACCCATAAAACAGCAACACTCCCTTCTCCATTCCCTATCCCCCAGCAACCATCACTCTTTCTATTTATGATTTGACTCTTCTAGGTACCTATATAAGTGAAATCATATGGTATTTGTCCTTTTGTGACTCAGTGTAATGTTCTCAAGGTTCATCCATGTTGTAGCGTGCGTCAGAATTTCCTACCTTTTTAAGGCTGAGTAACATTCCATTTTATGTATGTACCACATTTTATTTATTCATTCATCTATTGGTGGACATTTGGATTGCTTCTACCTGTTGGCTATTGTAAGTAATGCTCTTATGAACATGGCTGTAGACAAATATCTCTTCAAGACCCTGCTTTCAGGGTGCCTGGGTGCCTTAGTCAGTTAAGTGTCCCAACTCTTGATACCTACTCCGGTCATGATCTCAGGGTTGTGAGATCGAGCCCTGCATTTGGCTCTGTGCTGGGCATGGAGCCTGCTTAAGATTCTCTCTTTTTCTCTGCCCCTCCCCACCTTAAAAAAAAAAGAAAGAAAAGAAAGACCCTGCTTTCAATTCATTTGGATTGAAAAGAATTCCCAGCACTGTCCTTTTCCCCACTGAATGGTCTTGGCACCCTTATTGAAAATCATTTTACCATATATGCGAGGGATTTATTTTGGGGCCCTCTGTTCTATTCCGTTGGTCTCTGTGTCTGTCTTTATGTCAGTACCATGCTGTTTTGATTACCAGGGCTTTGTAATAATTTGGAATTGGAAGTGTGAGACCCCCAGCTTTGTTCTTTGTCCAAGGTTATTTGGAATATTCAGGGTCTTTTGAGACTCCGTATGAATTTTAGGATAGATTTTTCTATCTTCACAAAAAATGTCAATAGGATTTTTGATAGGGATTGCATTGAATCTGTAGATCTCTTTGAGTAGTATTGACATCCTAACAAAATTGAGTCTTCCAATCCACGAACAGGAGATGTCTTCGTATTTATTGGTGTCTTTAATTTCTTTCGGCAACATTTTGTAGTTTTTTACATTCTTTTTGATGCTGTTGTAAATGAACCAACTTGCACTTTTTTTAAAAGTTGTTTTATTATGTGTGTCGTATATATGCATAGCAAATTTCTGGAGAGATAGACAACTAAGACCAGGATGGCAGGGGAGGAAAGACTTTCACTTTTTATTTCATAACTTTCTGTACTATTTTCTTTTTTTTTCATGAGCATGTGGTATACATTTATAATTAAAACCAGACCTAGTTTTTAAAAGGGGGAGCGGGGTGCCTGAGTGGCTCAGTTGGTTAAGCGTCTGACTTCCCCTCAGGTCCTGATCTCCAGGTCTCCTCGTGCTTTGTGCTCAGCGGGGAGCCTGGTTGTCCCTCCTCTTCTGCCCCTCCCCCTGCTTGTGTGCGTGCCTGCTCTCTTTTTTCGTGCGCGCGCTCTCTCTCTCAAATAAAAATCTTTAAAAAAATAAAAGGGGAAGAAAATAAATTGTAGGTGATGGTATAAGAGCTAATCTTCTTTTCTGAGATTTAATTTCTTATCTTACTTTCCAAATGGTTTACTTTCTCACCTCCCAGAGTTTCTCTAATAACTTTGCTAATTTGTTAAAATTCCAAACCTATGAGTGCTGTTATTTTGTAGCTTACTAAAAGTAGCTTAACTTCATGTCCCAGAAGTATTACTGATTTTGGCCATAGATCATGTGACTACCTTCATGACCTATTTTGTCAGAAGGGAATTTCCCCTCCTCTAGATAGGTGTATATTGACTGGGATGGCTTTACAAAATTATTTTATTTCTTTTTACTGTGAATCTCCCCAGTAGAAGTAGTATTCCACCTCTAAGCAGTCTCAGGGAAAAGTAGCTTCTTTCTGCTTCTGTTTTGCTGTATTCCATCTAGTATTGGTCAGTAGAAGGGCAGGATCATTTTGGCTCTAATTTCCTTAAAGCAAATGAGAGGCTGGAGAGAACCCTCAAAGATCTAGGCTTAGAGTCAAGGATGTTGGCATGAATCTTGCCACTTACTGAACCTCGGCCTATTTACTGTAAAATAGGCTTAGTACTACCTATCTTATTCATAAGGGGTTCTTAATGAGATATCAAGTGGAAATTTAAAGATTTGGTATGTAGTAGATGATCAGTGAATGTTAACTTTCTCCTTGGAAAAGAACCTGCTGGAATGTCGTTATGTACTTGCAAAGCTAGCTGGAGCATGTCTCCTGCCAGCTCTAAGGTAACCACCCACACATTCTAGAATAAGTCTCCACCAAACCTGTATTCCCTTATCTGGGCTAATCTGTGATAGGAAGAACCATAGAATACGTCTGAAAAGTCATGGACATTCCCTCATTTAAGGAAAATTGAGTGGCACAGAAAAGGAACCTAAATAAAGCAATGCTACAAACAAAAATATCTGTGATCTTTGCCCTATGATATGGGGAAATAAGGTGCACTACCAAGCTGGCCTACTTGGTCTCTCATTGTGGAATACATTTTGCAGTTCCTCCTATAGTAGGCGGTGGTGGGAAATGAACAGAAGAGGCAATGTCAAGGTACTAGAGAAAAGGTTTGAGATTGCTCACCTCCTTGTAGTAATTCTTTCTCTAGTATACATTTTGTTCTTGAATCTTCTGTTCCATGCATGACTCAGTCTCCCTTTTGGTTGTAAGGTCCTATAATTCCTGCCTCAACATGCTGCTTTGTTTGCCATCCTAACAGGGAGGGTAAACTGGTTCAGTTTCATTTCAGCAAGTCCAAGCCTGTTTTTCAAATGGTACTGGTAATTAATTCCCTAACATTTTTAGTTGGTCAACTTAAAGAAAGCTGAGGTTTTTCATTTGAAATATCATTCTTGCTCTCCAAACACCACTAATTATGACTAGAAGAAATCCTGCCATCATTTCCCATGTCTCTATGTTGATGTTTATTCCCTGACTCTTAACACTTACATGAGAATCTCAAGGTCAGAAGATGTTGAATAAAGGAAGCATTGACTCTAGAGTTAGAATCCAGTATGGGGGTGTCTTGCTCAAGTCGTTAGTTAGAGCTCGGTTACTCTCCATTATCCACGAACATCCGGTGAGAAGGGCTGTATTTCTCATCACACCGCTAGGATTATGGGTCTTGAGGAACGGTCACCATAAAAGTATTCACAAGTATGGTGAAAGGATCAGGATTGTGGGACTAGAAGCCAGAAAATAGAATCTAGAAAAAATAGTGGCCATTTTAAGACTTTTTTTAAAGGTTTATTTATTTGAGAGGGAGAGAGAGATAGCGAGAGATAGAGCATGAGCAGCGAAGAGAGGGAGAAGCAGACTCCCTGCTTAGCAGGGAGCCCGACGCAGGGCTAGATTCCAGGACGCTGGGATCATGACCTGAGCTGAAGGCAGAGACGCCCAACCAACTCAGCCACCCAGGTGCCCCAGTAGTGGCCATTTTAAATAAATGAATGAAATGGGAAATAAATGCCAGAAGGACTGAGGTGGAAAACAGAAAATAGTTGTAGCTTCTAAGTTTGGTGTTTTGTTGTTGTTGTTTTTTTTAATCCATTTCTTTGGGGCTAATCAAGGACACATTAAACATTTGGCTGAGGCTCTGGACACCAGAGCAGTTGCAAACAGGACTGGGAGCAGAGCTGAGCTGACTTGAGATGCCAGGCTACCCCTCTTTCACCCTGGCTAACACAGTTCTCTGTAGTTGCATTCTGGTTTTGGTTTCTCCTGTGTCACAAGAGAGGTGAAGGATGGAGTTATGATTTCTCTTCTGTATTAAACCAAGGGTAGAAGAAGGGTAGAATTTAAAACATGTAAGGCATCAGAGTAGCAAAAGAATCGTAAGCCTCCATTGTTGCCCCACATTTAACTATTTCTTACTGTTGTAGTTCCTTATGATAACATGCCACACGGTGGCTTCTCTTGGGTTACATATCTTTTTCCTTCGTGACAGTTGGGAGCATGAGTGATATGTGCTGCTCACCCAACTGCCTCAATAGTCAGTATTGATTTGGAAATAGACTGAGGGAAGGAATGGTTGTATGGAAGCATGTTAAATTCACAAATGGCAGAATTTCAGTAAAACCAGAAGACTATCATTTTCATTACATTTTGGATGGAGAGAGACTAGAGAAAGTTTCTAGAATATCCTGTTGAGTCAAATCTTGGGGTCTGAATCAAGGTTCTTAATGATGTTTCAGACCTTATGATAGGTGGGGAAATCCAGATGTAGGCACTAAGGAGATAGCTCTCCTTTCATCTTTTCTGTGGAACCACGGTTAGCAGTTCCCTCCCCTGGTGTTTAACCATTACGAGGAGAAAGCTCTTCTAACATTGAATCTTAGGCGGTAGGCTCTGGTCCCTGAGTTTCTCTGAGCCAGAGAGTGGGCCACAGAAGAATGAGCATATTCAGGAGTTCTTCCTCTTCCAGGTACTATTTGTAGCTCAGCTTCATGTTCAGTTACCAGAACCTGTTCTGAAGACTGACACAGAGGAATGAAGGTGGGCATCAACTGGTTTCTCGGTGACAGTTTTGGACAAAGCAGGCCTTTTGGGAAGAAAAGGGTTAGGTGAAAAACCCCATCTCAGTGCTTCCCTGAGGACGAAGTCCTGCTTCCTCCCCCCTTTCTACATGCCTTAACCCTTTCCTCTATCCTCTCCATTCTCCTCCCACAGGAGGAAACCCTGAGCAGCCTGTCCAACTAGAAAATCGATGACTGATAGAGACGTAGTTGCCGGAATGGGCTTTGTAAACAAAATCTGCTTTTGGAAGAGAATGAGAAAACCAGGGTACCTAAGTTAGCTCAACTCGTAGAGTTAAAGTTATCAGCCTTAGGTGAATATGCTTGCTTTTTTTATTTGGGGGTTCTGGCTTTCTTGTATTTATGTCAGGGACTTCAACCAAGTGTTGAACTGACTTAATCCTCCAAACATTATAAGGTAGGTAACAAATGCGGCAACAAAGCAGGTTGGTAACTCGCCCAAGAGTGGTGGAGCCAAGATTCAAACGTACAGTTTTTATCCACAGCCACTCTTTAGGGACCATACAGCTTATAATTATTCTCACATGCAGTAGTTAGTATTTGCCTTGAGTTACAGAAAGATCAGAAGCAGAATCAAGAGACAATGGAGAGAGCTTCAAGCAGAGCTAGGATAGTTCTCAGTGGACCTCAGTGTTGTGGTTGTTTGCAGCATATTAACATCTTTCTCATCAGGGGCCAACCTACCTTTTCTTTTCTAGTGCTGAGGAATGTAAACAAGTTTGCTGGGCCTTGCGAGACTTCACCAGGTTGTTCCGATAGCTCACACTCCTGAACTGTGCCTGTCACCCAGGTGAGTGGTTATAGTTCCTGGCTTTTCCCTCTCGCTGTCAGGAGCGCTTGGGATGGCATAGGTTTTTTTGTTTTGTTTTGTTTTGTTTTGTTTTTTAAGATTTTATTTATTTGAGAGAGAGAGAGCATGAGAGAGGGGAGGGTCAGAGGGAGAAGCAGACTCCCTGCTGAGCAGGGAGCCCGATGTGGGACTCGATCCCAGGACTCCAGGATCATGACCTGAGCCGAAGGCAGTCGCTTAACCAACTGAGCCACCCAGGCGCCCAGGATGGCATAGGTTTTAATGCCCATCATGGGACTTGTACTATAGCTAGTTAGGGAAGGACTTAACAGTTTAACACTGCCGAACAGTTAAGAAAGGACCCTGGTTTGCTTGGGCCTGGGCAACCAGGTAATTGCCAGCTGCTTTTGGATACCATCTTCACCCCCATAGGAAAGTTATTATTGTAGGAGATCTCAAAAAAAATTCCTCCTTTCATTCCCTTACAGACACTTTAGGATGGTAAGTGTGTATGTTAACAAATAAGTATTTTTAACCTGGCTACTTTGGTGAAAACGGTACTGACCTAAAGCTGACTGTGATTACATTGACACCATTCTCCTAAAACTGACCTTTTGGATTTAATGAGCAAAGATGCTTATTCTTAACACTTTTACAGTCTGAACACTGAAATGCCAGGTTCTGCCCAAGGCAAGAGGTAGAGGAAAGGAGGTAGCATCTTTGTCTAGCTCCCGATCACCAGTTTTTCTCCATGTGCTTCCTGACTCCTGGTTCTGCAGCAAAACAAGAATCTTAGCTGAGGACAGAAAGAACTGGGTAGTGGGATTTGGGTGCCAATTTCTTGACTGAGAAGAAAGGCAGTTCTCTTAAGCACCCGCACCCCCCTTTGAGGTCTTAGGCAGTATTTATTGTCCCACGAGACAGTTCTCAATGAATGTACAGCACCTCACTCGTGGTTTCTGTCATTTAATGTAGTAGTAGATGAAGGCACTCTGCAGCTGTGCCCCTCACCCACACCAGAAATTATTTCTAAATTTTATTCTTTAGTGAGTAGTGATATCATTTGGGATTCTCAAGTTTTGTAGTGTTGGTAATAGCTAACATTGATACACATAGGCTTATTCATGGACAGCTGTGGATGCTTGTTGGCTAACATTTATGGAGCCCTTACTGTGTGTCAGGTACTGTTCTAAGTGCTTTGTATGTATTAACTTGGATAATCCTGAGGTGGTTCTCTGGGTTAGTCACCATTATTATTTCCATTGTACAGGGGAATAGAGGTTCCAAGATGTTAAACGATTTGCTTGATGTCACAGTCAGTAATTGATAGATATGCTGGTGCCAGAGCCTTTACTTTTAACCGGTCTACTTCATACATTCACATAGTACCCTTTTCATACAGACTAAATCAGTGGTGTTTAAACTTTTGTTAGTAGGCAAAGTCTTCCTTCAGAATAAACTCTTGCATGAAACCCCAGTATTTAAACGGACTAAAGTAGAGATTTTCTGGTTGGTTTGGGGTGGGCAGCCCGGACCTGCTGGCTCACTCTTTCCCCCCCACAAAGCATCCCTACTTTCCACAGCACACTCAGAAAAGGACCGCAGGCAGTATCCGTTACAGCAGTAGCTCTCTTGAAATCACAAGTAAAAACTCCAACTTCTTTTTTTTTTTGCTGAGTTCTTATGGCAGAGGCCAGACTGAGGTACCTGAGCAAATGTGAAAACTTCTACCTTTTTAGAAGAAGCTATTATCTCCTGAACCACAGTTATTGACGGTCTTCTCTCTTTTGTCAGGAATGTCTTTAATTAGAAGACAGGAAGAAAACAAAAACCAGACTGTGTCCCACAATCAGAAACCTCCATTGTGGCAGAGGGGCCTTCACCGCCACCACGGCGTCCCGCCAGACAGGGAGAGACTCCAGCCTTCAGAGGCCGTCCTGAGGAGTTCCTGTTTGGGGGTGTGAGGAAAAATCAGTGCGGTTTAAAAAAAAGATGGCTGTGGCCTGTCCGGCGTGGTGGGAGGGGAGCTGGTTTCCTGGTGAACTTGTTTCAAAGGAAAAATAATTTTAAAGAAATAAAAAAGGAAAAAAAGGAAAACTAAACTGAAACCAGAACTGAAACGTTCACTTGGTAGCAGTGACACGCACACACACACGTACCTATACACACATGCTAATACGCATGTGCACACGGAATAAAGTACAAACTTTTGTGAAACAAACCATTTACTTAGGGAAAATGGGAATTCAGACGACATAGCTGCAATTGGAAGGAAAGGGTCAGGATCATCTCTTAAGGTTTTCTATTGTTTTTTCCTCTTTCTCTCCCACCCTCCCTTCTTTCCCTTCCTCTTTTAAAGAAAATGAGTAGAAATTTCTCCCACTCTCCCCAGCATTTCTTCCCACCTCTAGAGTTGTTCCGACAAGGAGGAGCCTGTTTGTTTTATATCATGGTCACATCAGTGGTACCAGGACCTGCCAGGGCCAAAGTTCATGTATATTCCCAGCCCTGACCCTATCCAGTCTCTAAATCCATTTCCAATCCATATTGGGTTGTCATCGGCCTTGGAGAGAAGAGCCAAAATTAGGGTGAGTGGGATATAAATGTATATTCTAAGTTTTAGGTTTTTTTTAAGATTTTTGTGTTTTTTAGTTAATTTTTCACCCACAAACATGAGAGAGGACAAAAAAAAAAGGGTAGGAGTATGGGGGAAAGTGTTTACAGGGCTAACTGTATTTTACTAAAAAAAAAAAAAATGTGGAAATTATTTGACTTTCACTGGGGGGTGAGGCGGGAGAGGGAAGCCCAAAACAGATCTTAATGTTTTAAAGGAGTTGCGGCCCTGCACAGGTGTTAGATATGAGGGCACTGTTCTGTCTGGTGTTGTAGCCATCTCAAGAACAAATCAACGGCAACAAAAAAAAACAAACCAAAAAAAAAAAAAGAAAAAAAAGAAAACAATAAATTTTTAAAATTTAATCAGTCTTTGTTTTTTCCTTCCTTCCACTGCCTCAGAGCTCTGAAATGATACAGCTAGACTGCGTGAGGGAGCGGACTTAACCTGGGAGACAGCTGGAGATGGAGTTTAAATGGCGGGCTCTGCCCTTGATGCCACGGACCCTCCATATTTCAGGGGAGTGGCTCCTTCTGCATCTTTTATTTTAGTTCACCCTAAAACTCCTCATGCTGCACTTTATCCTTTCATACAGCCTCGGTGGGAGAGAGAATGGGTCCCTCAGCACGTTAAACAGAAATGTGGTACATTTCCACAACAGCCATCCAAGTAGACTGATCCCTAACCCACTGAGTACAGTGTTTGGTCTTTGAAAAAAAGAAACCTGTATTGCAGTATCATTGACATAGAATAAGCTGCACATGTTTCAGTTACACAGTTGATAAGCTCTGACATAGGATACACCCGTGAAACCATTAACACAAGATAGTGAACATACCTTTACTCCCAAAGTTCCCTCATGCCTCTTACCATGCTCCAGTAGCCACTGATCTGCTTTCTGTCACTGTAGATTAGTTTGCATTTTCTTTAGTTTTATATAAATAGGATCACGTAGTATGTTAAAGTATTGGTTTTTGAGCTAATAAGCTTGACTGCGGAGCTCTATACAGTATTTAGAATCCATGAAACAAACCTTCCTGCATAACATGAGTTGTACTCAGAGTTTGACTTGGACAGGATTTTAAACTGCACACATTTAAAGATCCACACCCTTCCTTCAGCTAGCTTCCTCCTAGAAAGCAAAGCCAGCCAGTTGAGAGCTTATGGAGCCCCACTGACTCATCAGCCTGGAAAGGCAGGCCCTTCTTCTGTTGTGGCCTCATAGATGAAGGGCAGGTGCTAGGGGAAAGAGGGTCAGTTGATACCAGAAATAGGGTCTGATAGAACAGCATGGAAGCAACTGGTACTGGAAAAAGTAAATAGCTGAATCTGTTTTTAATATTTATTAACTGAAAAAGACATAAAATTCCACTTCTACCCCATATTCTTAGACTCTGAAGAAGGAGGTAGCTGCCGGTCTTAAGGATCTGGTGTGATACCTAAGTGCCTATCTCAGGAGGGAGAGAGATGTAAGGAAGTGAGACTCAAACTAGGGAACCCCAAAATCGGATCAGGCCCATGCCCTGCTGAGGGAGCATGGCCCGTAGCACTTGGCTCTTTTTGCCTGAGGAATTGGGGGCAACCACAAGAGTGGGCCACGCTGGGACAATTCCCTCTCAACTAGGCCCCCAGGGTTGGTGGAGTTAACTCCTCTGCTCACTGGGGCCAATGGCTGAGTTCCTCCAGAGTGAGCAGAGGACAGACATATACTGGAAGACCGTCCTCAAAGCAAAATGCTACCAGCTTCCCTCGGGTGCTACAGGAGAAAGCCTGGAACTTGGAAACTCTCTTCCCCTCTCCTTGGTGCAGATCCACTTCCAGGAGACCCAGCTAGAGGGCCCTGCAGCCAGTCAGGTGCCCACTGAGGCTATCATACCTTCACATGAGCCCACACAGCCACCTGGGAAGCCTGTGCCAGTCACCGTCTGCAGTCTCATTGTTGCATGCTAGCCGGGTGCATGGGCCAGGCCCCCTGGCCAGCATTGAGGCCTGCCACAGGAGGGGCCTGGGCCACAGGCTGCAACCGCTGCTGGGACTGCCAGATGTGATGGAGCTCCTTGAACTGCTCCACCATGCGGTCTTTGAGGTCTGGGTTTGAGATCTGTAGCCGGATACTATCAGCTGACCAAGAAAGCTCCCCTGAGAACATCTCCAGCAACAGCCGAGCTGCTACAGGCACCACCTGGGGGAGCAAAGAGGGACAGGGAGAACCTTGGCAGACTGTCCAATCCAGTTGTGCCTGAGGCATCCACCAGGAAGAAGGGGCACTAATTTCTACTTCCTACAAAGGCTACTTATGTGTGGGCAAGCCTGGGCCTTGATTATCTCTGGCTGCCAAGCCAACCTGCTCAGAGAGTCCTCAGCCTCCACCCTGGGGCAAAGGCTGTGCCGCAGGATTCCCCCAGTACTCAAGCCAAAGCAGAGCAGGGGCTTGAGAGGTGAGATGGTGGTATACCTGTACAGTGATGAGCTTCTTCTCTCGGGGTTTGCGGTCAGGCCATTCCTCCCCAAAGCAGAAGAAGATCTCAAATGGCGGTGGGGTGTTAGTCTGGCCCTTCTGGAACAGGATGAGCTCTGCAGCAAGATCAAGACCCTCAGAGGCTAGAACCATGCCCCTGGACTAGAGAAAGCCAGGAGGAACATGAGGCGAGTCCCTCACCATTGAGAAAATGCTCCAGGCTGAAGAGCTTGGTTTTGACCTCCCGCTGGATGGGGTTGGGGTGTGAGCCGTGAGCTGAGGCGCAGGGCCCGCTCCAGAACACCTTGCACTGACACAGGCGGATGGCATACAGATCTTGGCCTTGCAGCTGGAGTATGAGCCCGCGGTCGAGGACATCCAGCAGCTGGTTTGTGTAGAAGCGCTGCTTGTCGCTGGGGATGTCCTCAGGGCTGGGGAAGCGCACTTGCTCCAGGGTCACAGGGCCGAAGAGCTCTACCTGCTCCTGGGTGGCCTCAAGCTGACTGTAGAAGAGCCGGCAGCCCTGTGGGTTGCTGATGGTGAGGGCCTGAGGTGGCCGCCCCCGGTACTGGAACTTGATCTCCAGGTCAGTCACTATGGGGCAGAGGGCAGGCCCGGCCAGTCTGTGAGCCCCACGCCACCTTGTTCTGCAGCCCACTGACTTGCTCTGTCCCGTCTGTCCAGCAGCCAGGCCATCTCGTTGGCTCTCCCACTTTCTTCCCCACCCCGCCTCACGGAGGGCCTGGCTTGAGCATCCTTGCTCTTCATCCTCCACCCTTCTTGCAAACCAACCCCCCAGCCCTACTTTACCCGGCCCAGCCCTCCTGTGGGTCCTTACGAGGCAGCATGTGGGGGCTGATCAGCAGGTCGGGCAGGAGTTGTTCACCCGTGGGGGGCAGGCTGGCAGCCAGGGGCCCGGGCTGCAGGCCCGGCAGGACCTCAGGGAGAAGCTCCCCAAAGCCAGCAGGGTTGCCGGGGGCGGGGCACAGGAGGTTGGGGTCTGGTGCAGGAGGGCCCAGCACCACAGGCTGCTGGAGAGTGGGCGGCCACTTGACATCCTCTTTGGGTAAAGAATAGGGTGCCATGGGGGGGCCAGGTTGCACTGCTTCTACAAAGGGTGGGGGCAGGCAGAGCTTTAATGCTACTTCTGGGAACTTCCCCCCCCCCCCCGCTAGGCCCACCTACTCTCAGCCCTGGGCCTCCCCCCAGCCTCCCTTCAGCCCCCTCCCAGGTACCTAGGGGACCTGCAGCTTCTCCTTATACTAGGCCCCCAGCCACGCCCCCTCCCAGCCCCACCTGTGATGCTCAGGCTTGGTAACATCCTCTGGAGCTGAAGGGAAGACCCAGGCAAAGGAGGAGGAAATAGGCCAGAGAGAGAGAGAAGGGAGGACAAGTTAATGAACTGATCTGATGCTAAAGAAATAACCCATGAGAATCACACAGGCAATTCCCCGGTGTTCAGCTCTGCAAGGCCAGACCCTGCCTTCGCTCCCAGCTCTGCCCTCCAGGCAGCTCCATGAACTCTGAGTGCCTTGGTGTCCTCATCTGCCTTCTACAGGAAGTAGTACCTACCCAGCCCCAGCTCCTGTGAGGGTGTGTCACACAACATGTGGGCATGTTTTGTACCAACAGAGCCCTAAGGAGGTTCAGGGTGGTGACTGCGTTCCTAGCCTCAGAACCCCAAGAAGAAACTCAAGAAGAGCCATAAAAAGGGCAGCAGGGCCCTGGAGGAAAGGGACCGCTTAATCCCAAAGCAGAGCAGCCCCACAGAAAGGCCCTAACAAGACCCACCACGTCAGTGCAGGCAGGTGCTGCCAAGAATGGTCCTGAGCTCCCGTTTTCCTCTTCCTCCTCCTCCTCCTCTCCTGGACCGAAAGTGTAGTCCTCACTGGGCTGCAACTCTGCAGAGCAGGGAGAGAAAACAAAGCAAGGGAGTCAGTGGGGGAGGAGAAGGAAGGCCACCAGGGCTCCGTGGGGCAGCTCCCGCTGTGGCTTCTTCCCTGCCCAGAGCTGCCCCAGCAGTGAAGTGA